ACCTCAATACTAACTATATCCATAAATAATAACTTCATCTGTCGTTCTGGCCTCTTAAAAGTGATATTAAATCAGAATGTGGATAAACGGTCACGGCGCCGATCGTATCATAAATTATGTATGGAGCATCTTTATTCGAACCAATTAATTCTTAATTACGACACAAACAAGGATCTAACATCCTAGAACTTAAGTACTAGTTCTTTTTTTATATCATAGTGCACTCTTGATTGTATACGAATTGTAAAACGACACAGGCGGGACTGGAGTCTACGAACGAGTCAAGCTGTGCCGTTGCTATCCCTCTAGAGGCCTAAATATAACACACTAGTGGCCCTGTCCCGGCTTCGCACGGGTAGACATAAATAAGTACAGATATTTCAATTATAAGCCTGCTAATTAAAACGACCATAAATCAATAAATTAGAAAAAAATTGTATTGCGCGTCCTAATTGTTAACAACCTGCGTGCGTTCAGTGTTAGAGTCCCGTGCACGCGTTCGCGAATTTCTAGCTCTGTTTCCTTCAAGTCGCTGCGACGATCTTGCATTTTGTTCTGCAAGACGAACCTGAACGTTCGACGATAGATTCTCTGGCCCGCGATTGGAACGCGTACAGTCTAACCCTTTCCAGACGATCATTTTAGGAAGAAGACTCTCCAATACGACGAACTTTTGCTAATCTCACTTGGGAACTGTTCTTAGATAGCTGCGACCTTCTCTTCTTAGGAAGGATATTTATTTTAAATTAGAGAAATTAAGAATAAACTAATAATAATACAAAAGAAAATATTCAAGTTTAAAGCGATAGTTCTGAAAAGAATTTTGACACATATGCAAGGTGTGATTCCTAATACTAAAACTACGTAGCTTTGAAAAGAACTTTTTAAGTGAAGCATAAAAATGTTTAAAAAAACTCGAAATATTCAATGTCGCTCGCGTCCACTGCGTAAAGGAGCCCACTGCCCCTCTATCGTCTGTATTTTTATTTTAATTTCATGATATCTTTTGAATGGAATGGCCGATTTCAATAATTAAAAAAGTCATCAGGTATTGAGACAATCTTGAATATTAAATTATTTATTTGGATAAAAATGTATAAATGGTACGGATAACACGGTCTGATTTTGATCGGCATTTCTATCAATTTATTAAATGTAAAAAAGTAGTTATAGCGACAAACTACAATAGTTAGACATATGCTCTCGTTATGTTTTTTGTAGATATTGATATATTCTATAATATTGTTGAACATTTTTTTGTCCTATCATTAATACTTTTCGCAGCGTATGCGATAAATAATTTTTTTTACGCCTTTCTTTGTTTTTAATAAGAATTTCTATAGATGTCTATAGAAATCAAGTACTAAATATACCCTATTGTTACTCAGTAGTCAGTGATAATATAGCTTCCTAATGAAAAAAGAATTATTAAAAACGGCCCAGTGCTTTTTGAATTTATCCGTTACATACAAAAATACAAATCTTTCCTCTTTATAATATTAGTATAGATAAGTTTGACTTTTTGCACTGCTGCCTGCATGAAATGCTAACACAACGGTGGTCTGGGCAAGTAGCATCAAGAGCAACATCTCATCTATTGTCTGAAAATAACCCAGATTTGGGCACAACACGACAAGGTCAATGTCCAGCCTCATAAGGATTACGCGAGGATGTTAACGGCCCCGAGTTGTGGGTTACCGTAACGGGACCCCGAATATTCCATGACAGTTATCAATTGTGTAGGTTTCAGGCTGACACACTTCCGCCGAACTTGATCGACAAGTTTGGACGAAGCTTTTGCCAGCTTTTCCCCTGTACGAGTATAATTTATGGATCGCATATTAAGATTTTGCTAAAAAATCTATAGTGGTTATTAGAACCAGGTGGGTTTTACTTAACTTTTACTCTAATTTCAAGTGAAGCTTGGCGTTACACATTTGTGTCCGTTACTCCATTTCACAACATACTTTTAGGAGCATCTGTCTGTGCTCCAACTATTGTTTTGTGTTTTCTGTCGCGCTGGGTTACCTACTTGTTCGAAAACTACGTAGAAAACTTTTTTGATACGTCATTACGAATAGCTAGATATCATATTAATATATAAATAAACTATTGCCAACCTTAGCACTGTATTTGTTTTTATATACATGCAAACAGTGAATTTCAAATATTATGAGGCCTAACATATTACGTGACTTCAGAAGAAAGAATACGGCTTTTCCTAATTTGTTACCAGTATACATTTGATCCTGGAAATTTATTTGACCTATCTAATTTAGTTCAGTCGTTCGGAAGTTCTGCGTGAAGGTCAAAAAGTATTATTTTTATTTAGATTATGATAGGAATACAATTAGTTTTAAGAAAACGCGTTGTATATTTGAATAAACGTTTTCAACAATTACATAATCGGCGTTATGTTTTGAAATGCAACCCAAAATATGCATCCAAATTAACAATGGCCGGGTTAATAAAATACTATCGAATGTTTATTAAAACGAAATGTATTGTTCGGATATACGATATTCTTGCTATTGTTGTGTCTTCCGTGTGTTTCTTATTTTTATAATTTTGTCATTTTAACAACAATCGTGTAGATCTGAGATATTTTAAATTTTATGTTATATTTTATATATTATGTTATAAATATTACGACAATGAACGTTAATTGATTTACTTTTCATGAAACAATATTCCTCTTATAATAATGGGATATAATAACAAAATCAAAAAGTTATGAATAATAAAATGGCATGTAAAATTGTTATAGCTTTTTAAAATTGCTTTTATTTGAAGTTTCAATATGTCTAATTTAACTAAGTAGTAGATAATAAACGTATACTAAAATTTTTCTTAATATTTATTTATTGAATATTTTCATGTTAAAACACCTAAGTTTGACTGGAAAAGTAAATTTTTGTAGGTAATATCGTAAATACAAAAATGATTTCACATTGGGAAGTCTAGCTTTGTCAAGTTCATCGTCTATCTATAAATCACGATTGTTTTGACAATATTTGATTTCAAATATTCTTTTATATACCCTGCAGTGTACGATTAAAAACATTTTTGACGGTTAAATAGGATACTATTTTTCATTGCTGACAAGTCAGGTTGTATAACGTACAAAAAGTCATGGTTTTTACTCGGTCGTGACTTTGTGTGGAGATTCCCATTATTCTGTTTTCATTAGATTTGTACTTTATGGAAGATTTATACATCGATAAGTAATGATCTACTTACAAAACGTTAACAAAGTTATATAATAAGAAAACCTTATGTTAAGTTTTTAATTCTACCCGCAAAAAAGTGGTCTATATTTTAAAGATATTTACAAAATTAACGATAATTAATTTAATATTTTGAATTCGAAATAAATAGAACTTTAAGTGATTATATTGTCTTAATAATAATTTTTTAGGAAATAAAAAATCTTACCTTATACTTCATTTTCTTAATATTACACAAACACTTTTTAATTATTATTATCAATGCTTATTTTATTAATATTAAATAAAATTTGTTCGGGTTATAAAAACTCTTTAACGCAAACTCTTCGGGGCTTTTAGGCGGCAACGTCAACAGCCGCGCACGCGTACTCTGAAGCAGCGAGACAATGGCTGCGCTTCGGCTGTCGCGGTGGTTTTGCTTCCCCGTCTTAATCTCGATTCCCCGCCAAAGAGGCGCAACGACCCGTCATCGCAACGTCCCATCTTCCTTCAGCCGGAAAATTGTGAGCAATGTTTAAGCCGAAGGTAAGCTTATTAGAATAATGATCGCTTGAAACAAGCTCGGTTTAAAATTTACGACATCGCCAACAACGCACTAGAAAAAAATAGAATAAATAATTATAGTTGTTATAAAACTATTTTAAGAACTTTAAACTTTTGTAACGATTAACATTATATTTTAAAAAATACGTCGTATTACATTGTCGAAAATTAGTAATATTCCAATGTTCGGCATATGTCGATTTTCATAGAAAAAAGGTTTTAAGAGAGTTTTAGATCCATCACACTGCTCCAGTGCGGGTTGGTGGGATTTTTAACAATAAAGTCGCTAAAGTAACAATAATAAGTACATGGTCTCCTAGGCCCAGGGATGATGTCACCTCGACCCTCGGCAATTGAATCCTAAGGGTTTGTATATAAAATGTATAAATGTCAAGTAAATTAAATATATATTACGTACATGCAATTATTTTTTTATCTAATCTATTTTATCTGATCGAAGCAAAACATAAATTGTTGTAAAAGTGTGTGTTACTTTTGTTTTGTATTGCAATATATATGTACGATTTATGTACTTTGATTTGTATGATTATAAGTGGTATTAATTCTTATTCGTTAATTGTCCGTGCTAGAGTTTTAAAAATTACCGCTTTAAAAATTGTGTAAGTATTATGCGCCTATATTTACGCTGTGTAAATATAAATATTCTGTTTATTAACTTGTATCTGTAACTTTAAGTAGGAGGTGCAAATGAATTAAAAAGCTTCTAAAGATTTAAGCATAATTTCTGTTTGATTATCATTTATTATGTAGGAGCCGATAAATTTATTTACAACTAAGTATAATAGCTATTCGTTATAGTCCTATAAATTTATAACCCATTATAGTTCGCCTTTGAACGGGTGAAAAAAATATATATATATCATTATAAATCAGTTTTATTTTATAGATTCTAGTTATCTTTTGTGATAAAAAATATTTTTACGAAAAACCTTTTTTTTGTCGAGTATTTTCCAATGTGTCTGGAAACGTATCTGTGGTTTTTCATTGACATTGACAGTTGAACCATATTTATTATTTTCAAATATGGCGTAAGTCGACGCCGAACAAACGAAAACTTGGATTACATGTTTCATAAATGTATAGTTTATTACGCTGTAAATTAAAAATTATTAGAAGTAAGAATAAAAGCTCAATCAAACAATATATCAGGACGTTCACAGTACGTTAGTGTTGGTTTAATATCATTTAACTTGGTGAAGTGAAATAATAATGTCACGAAATTACACGCGCGATCGTGACTGGGACTCATATAGGCGGTATGAGAAGTCTCGTCCGACAAAACGCAGCCGAACACCTGTACGCGACAAGAGAAGCCGGTCTCCTCATAGGAATAATACGGATGAAGACGCGCATGAGGCTTGGGACGGACACCGACAAAATTTGTCAGTGCCGCCGCCAACGAACTATCCACAGGATGTACGATTTTTTTCCAAATAATCATAGTTTTTTGTCATTGACCTGTACGGTCTAAGTAAATTCCTTGTACATGTACATGTAATTAGAAAATTCAAGCATAAAATCTATTAGCAAAACTTATTTAGTACAGAAATTGTTAGTGCCCTGTGGAGAAAATTGGAATTCAGTTTTTATGCATATGCGGCATTGAAGTTATATTTAATTCTTAACAGGCGCCAGGTTTCGGTCAAAACTATCAACCTTCCTACTCAGGAATATATGATGAATTCTCAACGGCCCCTCCCACTGCTAGCAATGAAATGGCTTCATGGAATCAAATGTCGCTGCCACCACCGCCAGCACATCAAGTGTATACTGTGGAAGATCAAATGAAAAAAGAAGGTAATAGAAGTTTTACTGTATCAATATCTTGATTGATAAATTTGAGTTCATAACATACATACATACCAAATTTGCAAAGTAAGTACAATATTTTATATATTTTCCTTAAAATTAAGTTTCATTAAGAGATTGCTAGTTATTTTCTTTGCTTTTCACAAATTTCTGTCATCTTACTTCTGTTTCATTATGGTGGTGGTGTACTTTTTTATTTATATACATTTTAAATAAGGTTTAATTTTCAGGTCCTAAAATCTTTTTCTAAGGTGTGAAACAAATTCTGGGAATAAAAAGTTTTCAGCAGTCAGTAGTGGAGTGTTTCAAATGTGGCCATATGATAAGTTTTAACTGACCGTTATTTGATAGTAATGGCATCTTTCTATAACTGTTATTTTTGCTACAGCAGCTATTGAGACCGAAATGCGCCATCAAAAGGCAGCATTGTCTAAACAAAGGGAAGACTACATTAAGAAAGCTAGTATTTTGAAAAAGGAACTGGATACGCTGAAAGATCAGCGAAATGAACTACGTGGTGACTCTAAGAGGTCACCTAGTCCAGATACTAAGCGGTTCCTCAAAGAGAATACCAAGTTACAGGTTTGATATTTATTTAATGTATCTTAAAGCTAAAGTCCCATTTTTAGCTTTCATAAATTTAAATATTATTAAGGATTAAAAACACATCCATTTATTGCTTTTGCAAATGCTGTGAATACATTGATTTTTTTACCAAAATACAAAGATTTATTTACCTTTTTAATGGGTTTTACCTTTAACAGGCTACATCACCCCAAAGCACTTGAAATTTTCAGATTATACCCATTTCCTTATTTATATTGGTTAGCTTTTTTGCCACATGTCAGTCAGGTATTGGCATCTCTAATATTGATTCACTTACTTAAATAAGCTTTGGGTTATATGAATTATTATTTTTGTTAGTTGGAGATACAAAACAAGCTGAAGACTATAAATAATGTGGTGGATATGCTCAACGGAATAATAGGTGAAGAGGCAACTGGCATAAATGATTCTGAAGACTCACCAGACCGTAGTACTAATCAAAAGTCCAGGTAATAATAGTTCTATGTTAAATATTTAATGAAATTTTTCAAAGTTAGTTAAGTTTTTATACAAAGGTAAGTATAGTTCATTTTCTTTTTAATAATAAAATCCAATGTGAAATAAATGCTTGTGCTCTCCCATTGCCTTTTGCTCTATACAGTGTTTCGATTGGATGGTGAATGGAGTTTATACACTATGGAGAAAAAAAATTAAGTTCCAGCTTTCTTTGTTAATTGCTCTTGTATGCTTTTCTACATCTGTACATTTTACTTGTATTTTGTCATAATTAATAAAATTATTATAATTATTGTGTATGGTATTACAAAATGTTATGTGGAATATGATAAATATATATAGTTTTTGTAAAACTCAATAGCAGTTAACACATACATATTTTTATATAATAATTAAATAATATATAGAATAATTTGATATTGCATTTTGTGTGTATTATAAAAGATTAAAACTAATTTTATTCATATACATAGTTTTATTTACCCTGTTTCAGTGGAAAGTTTTGGACATACGACGGGTTATTGCGGTCAATATTAAACTTTTATTCATTTGTATCTTTAGTTATACATACTTTTTCTTATAATTCATATTGTCTTTTTAGGTCTCCACCCATGAGCAACAAGTTCAACTATGTATATTACGACCCCGAGATGCACTGGTGTCGGGTTTGCAATGAGTTTCCACCTACTGCGAAGGACTACTTGAACCATTTGCATTCAGCTAGTCACCATAAGTAAGTAATAATGGATTAATAATTAAAATGTTGGTCACATGTCAGATATTTTTGTTATAAAAATTTTCACATTCTTAACATATTTATAATTTAAATTTTTTTATTAATTTAACTAAATGATTGAAGTTTTAAAAATGCAACTCAGTTGTTTCATCTTAAATTATCTCTTTACCTGCAACATTTAACCTCACCTGACCTTTTTTGTCAGTGTAATTTTAATATTTTTCTATTATTTTATTTGTATATGGTTTGAACAGATGTGCTTCAGCACTTATGGAAGCCCCGTGGCATTCTGTGACTGGAGTCAACGAAGGATTTCCGAATTATCCGTCGGCTCCTCCGAAAAGAACGCCTATCAAAGGTTTGTAAAATAAACTTAAAACTATCATCAAGACATTTTGTGTTTATATAAAGCATTAAAAGTTGACTTAATTGTTGCTTGTGAATATGTTATTCGAAATAAATGTTATATGTTACAGGATTGCAATTCTTCGTGCCATCGACCGCGTGGTACTGCAAGCTGTGTGACCAATTTATCGGTGATTTGCATTGTGCGTCTGCGCATCTAAAGTCTGTTATACACGCTAAGAATTACACGGTACGTTTAGAACGTTTTGTAAGTACTAATAGGAAAAGTGTATTGTAACGAAATTACATACAGGAGATTTTCATATACCTTTTAGAGATACAACATTTTCTCGACGTATAGATGTGTATATTTTTACAAACACAAACACTTTCAGAACTTCGTAGATCAGAACCCACATTGGGAGACAGACTGGATGTCTGATCGACAGAAGGCATTTGAGAAATCTCGAGGCATCAAGAAGAGCAAAGAAGACAAACAGTACACGGCCCACACGATCACCTTCAGCAAGGACGGCTTTCACACCAAAAGCAAGACTCCGCCGAGGGACGAAACAAGGGAGAAAAAGAGAAAGGACAAGCGAAAGAAGAAAAACAAGAAGAGGAGCAGTAGCAGCAGCAGCAGTTCTGACTCCAGTTCGAGTGATTCGGACAGTGAGCCGGTGAAAAAGAAGAAGAGTGAGTTATATTGGGTTTATTTTTACACGGAAGACATTTGTTACTTGCATCATTTCCTAAGATTTTTAATAAGTATTTTTTTTCCTGGTTTTGTGGATATCTCTATGTATTTTATGATCTGTTAATGTAATATGATATAGTATAGTTAAGTATTTTTACAGGCAAGAAAGAGAAGGAAAAGCAGAAGACCGAAAGTAGAGAGCCCAGAGTGAAAGAGTGGATGTCAGCCCTCAACACAGAACGACTGCACGACGCGGACCGAAAGATCATCGAGAACATTAAGACTAGGTGAGGACCATTATTCATCACTTATATTTCATTAGGTGTTATTTTTCTATGTTATTATATGTTAAAAGATACAAATTGTATCTTGTATAACATTTATGTTAATTAATTAATGTTTATTTGCATATAAAGAATGAAGCTGGATCAACTGGAAGAATTAAGTCGTCGTGGCTCCGAGCGAAGTAGGCAGAGGGAGAGATCGCCTCCAAGAGAGGAAGAGAGGGAAAGGTAAGTTTTCTTCATTCAATGGATTTTGTGCCATAATATTATTTACTACGTATGCCAGCGACTTCGTCCGCGTAGAATTGAATTCTTTTGGGCGTCAAAATTTGTTTTTCTAACATCCTCCTTATCTTTATAAAGTATAGTTTTTACTCACGACGTCTTTCGCATCCCGTTGTTCTTGCAAGTTAATCTTGAGAGATAGACATTTATACAGTCGCGCTGACATGTTTTTAGATCTTGTCTTAGAGTTTTTCCTCGTTCGTTCCACATATCGCAATGCTCTTTGCTCCTACTAGTCCTAGCCTGATGTTTTGTAGCCCAAAGCCCTCTTTGATGAATGGCGTTTGGCCATTACACATCACAAAAAAAATCAATTTGAACCTCTAGTTCCTGAGATTAGCGAGATATCAAACAAACAAACTTTTCAGCTTTGTATTATAAATAACAATTGCTCTCCTATTAATTATTATTTTTTAATGTAAAAGTTGTGCTTTGGTCGTGCAATGATATTTGATATATATATATTGTAATTTCATGAACCAAGCCTTTTTTTTTGAGGTGAAAATTTGTATTTAATGTTACATAGTTTTTGTTGTAGATTTTTAGTCGCCGTTTGAAATTAAATACTTATGTGTGCGATATCAAAACAACTAACTTATTCATAATCCCTTAGAGTTTAATAACTGATTATTTATTGCAGACGTCGTTCTCGTTCCCGCGATGATCGTAGAGCGAGTGAGTCGCGGCGTCGCGAGGAGAGGAGAGACGAGAGACGCGAAGACAAGCGTAACGACAGAAGAGACGAGAGAAGGGAGTCACCGCCCCCAGACATCAAGAAGCCGGAGATTAGGAAGATGCCATTTATAGGTTAGAATTAGATGCCGATCGGTATATAATTCATATATATACACTGACACGTATATGTTATGAATTATTTTTATTATGATAGAGAAGGACAGGCAAGCTTAAGTTCTACTTGATGGAAGTTGAAATATCTCAGCTATAAAACACCTATACAACCATGACGCGGTAAAAGTTCAAGTTTTTCGTCTGTTTTCCGTTGTTCGTTTGACATTCTTACCACTCATTTAATATCTAGAACTCCAGACGAAGTCGACGGTTCAGACAAATTATAAATTAATTAATATTGTTAGCTCGGCTGCGTTCGAACCCACGACCCGTTGATTATTAGCGTTACATTGCACCAACGAGCCCGTAAAAATGTATTTATTGTACAGGAAAAATGCCCGTATACAAGCACCTAGGCAAACCGAAGACAGAGGAGGTGAGAAAGGAAGAAGAAAAGAAGAGGGGAGAAGACGAAGCGACGCGGAAGAAACAACACGAGATGGACCTCGAGATACAAAAGAAAGTGAGTCAGTTTTGTTAATCATTGAAGGATTCAAACGCAAACCATTTATTTCACAAGACACATACAGTTTAATAAAATAAACTTACGTATTAGCTTAATAACTCCATAAAATATGTATGAATAATTCCATAGTCCTGAGGGTGTCAAAGTTAGGACAGATGACAAAAAAGTATAGACGTTTTCGTACAGGTGGCCGAGTTTAAGGAAAAGATCGCCAAGTCGCAGCTAGAGCGGTCGCAAGTGGAGCAGGCGCAGCAGCAGCAAATGTTGGCTGGAATGCTGAACCCATTCATCGTGCCGCCCGTGCCGATGGTCGCGCCGGCGCCCGCTCCCCCCGCCCCCCCGCACTTCCTCCGCCGTGAGTAGTCCTCTATCGGGTTCATATCTATTTCCTATAAAACCTTAATATCTGTCGGCGATAAGCCAAGGGTTTCCTATTCAGAGCCCCACTTGATGAAGACGCACACATAAAGACAACTTCGTTTATTTTTGCATGAATCGCAGAATTAAACTGAATTGTATTGTATTGTATGTATACAATAAATAGAGATATTTATAGGCAACGGTTAATATAATCACTTCCATTGAAACAAAATAATTGAAATGACTTTATAAAATATCATAAATTAAAAAAAAAATCGTAATTAATATTATTATAAATATTACAGAAAAACCAAACTATTTATTTTACATGAATTACATTTATTCTATAAAATTTCATTACAGAAACTTACAACAGATGGCGTCACTAGTTGGTCGAAAACCATATTAAGCTTTGTATTTGTATTTGTACAATACAGTCTAAAGATTATGATAATTATGGAAACACCAATTTTAAATATTTATTATATATTTTTATAATCATATGATAATTAAATTTTTATTGGCGTCCATAATACATCCGTTGTAAAGATTCTCTCTTCTTAAAATGCAAAATTGGTAGAAAGTTGCTGAAAACAGATATTTCTTTACTAATAAATGTTATATAGATGACAAAAATATGCCTTTCTTATTCTTGCTTGTGGAGGACACGTTAAGAGGAGAGGTTCACGAACAAGAAATAGTGTCGTTATTTTGCTTAGTTTTAGTATACAATACACACATAATATGTATTCTCTTCATAGTAGAAAAATAGAGGTTTTTCTACTAGTTTATGTTTTTTATCCCACAGAGGAACGCAGCCACCAAATTTGCCCAAGGACTTCCAAGATGCCTTAGACATCATCTTCCCATCTGACGTGAAGTCAGAGAAGCAGAAGGAGCTGTTCCAGGGCATGAACCAGCAGATTCCGGGTTTCGGGATGGGCATGGTGCCGCAGTATCAGCAAATGGCTATGATGGGTCAGCCGCAGATGATCATGCCGTACGACGTGAACTCGTCCTTATATCCGAGACCGCAACTCTACGATTCTCACGTCTCCATCCCAAAGGTGAACCAGATTAGTGTGAACAACCAAGAGGGAAATAGTGTAGAGATGGATAAGAAGGAGAGGAATAGAGAAGATCTAGACGATCTAGCTATGTTGGGGATAGATGCGTCTGACGTTGGAGCGTGTATGTGATTAGATGATTGGGTCTCTGCGACGGTTCAAGTGGTGGCGTGATAAATACTTTTACTTTTTACTGTTAATTGTTTGTCTGACCGTTACATAACATAAACAAAACACTAAAGTGGGGAACTAGTTTAGTACAAATATAAGCTACGTTACGACTGAGCTACCGAGTCTAAAAGCCGGCGTGGCTTACCCTAGACCATCACTACTTTTTATCAGGAATGTTTTATCAAATGTTTGGCCAGTATATTTTGACATTTAAAATGCTCACTATTTCGAGTACAACACACTTCATATAAATGACAGAACCACATTTTCCGCGGTTTTAAGTTTTTAAAAAGAAACTTTTTGTTTTCAACACATTGAAGATGATAATAGAGAGATCCAAGTAGGTCAACTGTACGGTGAGTTGTAGGAGCTCAGAGCAGGTGCCAGAAGTAGTAGACAAGACGGTGCAGCTCATTTAAAAGATCCTCAGTCTTAAGTCACAGGAAACTAAGTTTGTATCCTTCTGCCTTATCAATTACTCAGGTGGTATCTTACCGTACAAGGTAAATTATAAATATTATATTTTTATATAAACTCTATTTTACGCATTTACTCTATGAGTGGAAGTTTGTTTTAAGGAAATAATTGGCACTGCGGTAGCTTTAGAGGTTTAGTACTAAGGCTAATGAGTTAAATGGAGATTTACTTTCGTAAGTATCCTGGCTTTGTTTATCTTTTATCTTATTGAAAAAAGGAGCAGAAGCAAATGAGGTTATATATTTTTTCAATTGTGACATGATGTTTCTTTAAATTTAATAAAATAATTGTAGACATCTGATTTTCATTTGTCGCGATAATGTTTATAATATGTAATTGCAATCAAGTACAGTATTAATATGTGTTACGAAGGGTCCTGGTTTTGAATTCCAAAAAATCATTTTTTTTAATCGATCAGTGAACGGGAGTTTAAAATGACACATTTTCTTCTGGTAGCAATCAGTTCTTAATACCTACCGCGTAATCGATATCTGTAAATAATATTTACAATATCAGGCTGAAACGAAAACACGAAATGACGTCTCGATAAGAGCTATCTTTGGACTCTGGGTCATCCAAACATCGTGTTTGGGAATAGATAACGTAGATGAGTAAAAATTCATTGAACGACGCCTTCCACTATCCGTGTTTAGGCTTAAGCGACACGAGTGACTATTAGTCGCAATTGTCATCATAGTTGGTATTCTCTGCGGTTTGAAGACCACTGACTGGGTGGAACACCTCATCCCATATTTTAAAAATATGAATTTGAAAATTCTGTACTGTGGGTTTGTCCGCAGGCCCCCCCAATTCCCCCCCCGGGGGGGGAATCCCCCCCCCCCTTTTTTTTTTGGGGAATTTGGGGGCCTTCGGGGGGTTTTTTTTTTGTTTTTTTCCTTTCCCTCCCCCTTTTTTTTTTTTTTTTTTTTCCCCCGGGGGGGGGGGGGGGGGGGGTTTTTTTTTTTTTTTTTTTTTTTTTTTTTTTGGGGGGTTTGGTGGGGGGGGGGGGGTTTTTTTTTTTTTTTTTTCCCCCCCCCCCCCCCTTTCCCCGCCCCCCCCCCCCCCCCCCCCCCCCTCGGTCTTTCCCCCCCCCCCCCCCCCCCTTTTTTTTTTTTTGGGGGGGTTTTTTTTTTTTTTTTTTCTTTTTTTTTGTTGGGTTTTTTTTTTTGTTCCCCCCCCCCCTTTTTTTTTTTTTTTTTTTTTTTTTTTTTTTTTTTTGGGGGGGGGTGGTTTTTTTTTTTTTTTTTTTTTTTTTTTTTTTTTTTTTTTTTTTTTTTTTTTTTTTTTTTTGTTTTTTTTTTTTTTTTTTTTTTTTTTTTTTTTTTTTTTTTTTTTTTTTTTTTTTTTTTTTTTTTTTTTTTTTTTTTTTTTTTTTTTTTTTTTTTTTTTTTTTTTTTTTTTAAAAATATATTATCATCTATACAAGATGCGCCATCGATAAAATCCACAGATTGAAACCGAAGCGCAGATTGACACTGCCTGGCCTTTTCATCGGTGGACGTTGGTTCTTGCCTCAAACGAAATTTGGATGTTGCCACTCATTTATTTCCAGACAATTTTTTACTTCAGGCAAAGGAGGTAATTATTCAAATTTTCAAAACTTAATTACATTCATAATCAGAGTCCGATAGAGGACTTATGTTTATAAGGCCAGTCGGTAGTCTGTTTTAGCCTTAATCGGCTAATTAAAACTCAAAACATCTATTGATAAGCAAAAAAGTGGCTTTATGCATGTGTTTGTTACCAGATGAAGTCATTGTGATTGAACCCAGCTTATCATGAAATTCGTAGTGTTGCTAAGTGGGAAATAGATACCCATTTTTCTTTTATGAAGGTTTGACACCATAGATAGTGGTTACCAATTTGCATAAAAGTCATGAATTCGAATCTTGGGTAGTTAAGTTATAGCCTGGGCGTACGCTGAAAGCGGCTTGCCCCGGATTCATAAAACAACCAGAACCTTTTTTTTAAATAAATATATATAATATTTTTAATAATATATGGCGTTTTAAACCGATAAAATGTTTTATTTAAATGTGTACTACTCGCGTAAACTATAGACAGTATTTGACCAGAATCATTATCGTAAATTAAAACACATTAAAGACTTACAAATACATTGTCTGTAATTTTAGTGAGAAGAACACGTTTAAATAAAACATTCAACAGTTTAAAACTCGAAGTTCCGTGACCACGACTATTATAAAACATTCTAAACGTCGGGACGCCGTTAAATTAAATTAAAAATAAATTAGATTACTTATATGTTTCGCGCTTAAAACCGTTAAAATTTATTTAAAATAGGCTTGCAACGTATAGTATATATTCGAAGATTCGACAAAACTATTCGTTGCGATTGAAAAGCTAAAAAAAAAGATTTGTTGTCTTAGATGTTCTCAATTAACCATTTGGTGGGCAAAGTAGTGTGCCTACGTTGCGAGTAGTCTTTTTTCACCACAAAAGTTCAAAATAATATTTATACACGTTACAGTACAAATGTATTCTTTAATGAGTAAAAAAGAAAACCATACCTTCCTATTACGATGATAATTTAAAATCCTATAATAATCATAACCAACGAATACTTAAAAAATAGCAAAAGAACTGAAAAGGTGAGCGTTTCATTAATCAATTCAGTTTTAGTATAAGAGGCGCCGAATAGGCCGAATACCGAATAGTAATCGAAAATTCCTTGCAAGCCTAACTTAAATACATGTAAACATTTTCACACACATTATTTTAACCCAAGTGCAGTCGGTTAAACTTAGTAGCGCTGTCTGTATCTTTAATTGTAAAGTCACTGTAGGCTAGTACATTCTTATGAAAACAACGTAGAGCTTGTTTTTATAACTACGAATTATCAACGCAAATCGTGAATAATATTACATCATACTATTTGTAGTATGCCTATATACAACGGCGATTTTCTATTAGTAATCAGACGAGATCTCACTGTCAAGTCGGTTTGTCGTCATACCAGGGGCGAAAAAACGTGATAGACAATTCACGAGCTAAATAGGTGTGTATATTGTTTTTACATACACTTGGGCATAAAATTATTTTAAGGTATTCGCTGAAAATAATATTTTGAAATAATAGCGCTAATATTGTTAGCTTTAAAAAAATTGTTTATTGATAGGTTGAAAAATGTTCTATAAAAATCAAAACCACGACTCATTAGATATAATTAAAATGTATTAGTATGTGTAAATGACGGGGGCTTCTTGTCCATTATATTTTATCTTTATAAACATCTACCAAGATAATAATTAGTACAGTACTGAGCTAGAATGCAACGTTGAATAGGCGATTTCAGCAGAGATAAGATTGATATTTTTGTTTACCGCGTGAAAATTTTTGTGTAACATCCTTGTATTGACTTTACAATAAGATATTTCCACATTATTATTAGCCTGTAGCAGGGAGAACATGGCGTCAGACAAAGTATTCCACGCCCGTTCTCAAGGTATACCTTCCGAGGGTGTAAAAGACCAGTACGCGGATGGAAAGGCGGCGAGGATATGGAAAAAGTATATTGGTGACAGCAATAAACGGACACAAAACTATCGGGAGTTTCTGACTGGCATTCTTAAAAAACACGGTTGTGTTAAGGTGCTAGATGCCGCTTGTGGTACAGGGTGAGTTGAGTAAATTTGTTTTTTATTACCGCCCTTCTCACAAGCAGCGGACCCAGCGTTTCATATGATGTCATTGGGTCAAAATAGAAAAAAAATACAAACAGCCCGAATAGTACAATTACAGACTTTTTTCAACTGATAGGTGGGATATCAGGAATTATACGACGTGAGTCTATAAGTCGTACCAACCCTTCCAGGGGTGAATCCCACCCACGGATTTACAGATTGGTTTGAATGACTCCAAGCTTCTAAGACCCTTGAACCCAACCTTTAGAAGTTTTTACTGAGGGTCTCATTGGTAGGTCTTGAATTTTCTCAAGTTAACTTTTACTGAATTCTTGATATCGCTGTTACGATAACCATTACTTAACTTTTGTTCTCCAAAAATCCCGAATATATTAATATTAAGGATTTTTTCTATAAAACAAATCAGTTCAATCCGGTGTCTGGAGATAAAATACTTATACGACGCTGAAAATATGTTGTATAATAATTACTAATTCACGATAATAACGTTTAAGAGACTTGTACACGTAGGCACCTATTATTTTTGTTTTTTATTAATGTCTTTGTACTGTAATACACATATATATATAATCAGTAATATTATTACTTGGACGTAACTTTTTGTTTTCCTAGTTTGGTATAGTTTTTACTCTTTAATCTTTTACCCTCCTGAAAATAATTTAAACAGTAAACATACATCATGATCAAATCGATAATCTTGGCTTATAAATAAGGAACTTCTAAGAGATGTTTGTAAATATTGGACAAAGCAACTCTTCTTCCAGTATAGACTCCATGATGCTGGTCGAAGAAGGTTTTCAAGTCGTGTCTGTGGACGCATCGGACAAGATGTTGAAGCACGCGTTGAAAGCTCGCTGGGAGAAACGAAGAGATCGCAAATATGATGAGTGGAGTAAGTTAATTCACGTGGTAAAGCTCCGCGAATACGATGCTATATAGATGCATACATATAATAGCATTTTATATAAAACAAAAAAAATAAGTTTTTAACGTGATAACATAAGTCAATTCATTCAGGATGGTGACTAAGTACCGTGTGTTACATTGTCTCCGTGTTTTTACTCGAGAAGTTAAAAAGGATTTAAACAATGCTGTAGTCAGGAATTGGAATATCGCGTTATAATTTTATTTCAAACTTCATTGTGAATTTGACGTACCTATCTAATATACACCTAACCAACAGACAACATCAAACCATGGCTTGGTACGAATAAATCTAGATTTGAAACGCAATATTTTTATTGAAGGAAAAACAATTGCTTTTCAGTAATAGAAGAAGCTAGTTGGGAGACATTACCAAAAGATGTTGAATCATTTTTACCTGGTGAAAGGTTCGACGCTGTCATCTGCCTCGGGAACTCCTTCGCCCATCTTTTGGATGAGTATGACGACCAGAGGACCCAGAAGATGTGCCTGGAGAACTTTGCCAAAGTTTTGAAACCTGGTGGCTTGTTGATTATCGACCATAGGAATTATGATGCTATGATTGATAAAGGTTCAACACCCGGACATTCTATCTATTACAATGTGAGTGGTAAATGTCATGCCTCTCTTGGATCATTACTTTGATGTTCTAATTAGAGCACAAATATTTGGTTTAGAAACTTATCTTTTCATATGCTACGACAGAAGTGAATATTAATTATTTTCTTTAAAAAAATTGCGCCTTATGTTTTATATTGAGCAAAGTTTTGCGGAAAGATTAACTACAATTTGGCGACTGAATTCTTATATAATTTGATTTATAAACGATGCTGTCAAAAGAACAATTTGCCTTAATATAATAAAGTTTCTATCTAACGTAATTTCCATATTTAACAATAATTATTATGTGTTATAGAGTTCTTATCCAGTAGACATCAAGACCTCGGTTCTGGTGGTGCGTGGAAAACCAGAACTGGTTGCTTTGGACTATTGCATTTGCCCAACAGAGAACGGCGATGTAGCAGAGAAGAGGCAAGTTTACTATTATTTACTAGTTAAGCTGAATCCGCATTGTGCAGCGCCCGAAATACACAAGATACGTAAAAATCTATACTAAAATTATCAAGTCTGAATTATCTGCTTTTTTTCACTAGAATTATTCAAATGATATTTATAATACCACACTTACTTCACGATACTTGTTATAATTATAATTTGATACTTTTCGTTTTTTAGATTATTACATTAAACTTATATTTTACAGTGAGTTCCGTCTCTGTTATTACCCTCACAAACTGGACAAATTCACTCAGATGTTGGACTTTGCCTTCTCAAATAAGGCAAAGCACAGTATATATGCCGACTTCAAACCACTAGACCAGGTAAAAGAGCCAGCTTACTACATTCATGTGATGCAGAAGGCATAGTGTAGGTTATGTTTTAATAAAGTTTTTGTTACAATGTCTTGTTTTTTTATAGTAATGGTATGGTTGATTTTTTAAAGACCCTGCAAATAACAGTAACTATGCAAAATAGTTGACTGGAGTATTTACACACATTTGGGGCCTAGCAGTAATTGCAATTTTATGACTGGACTTATTTATATTTGTAGTCCAAAAAAGTTAATCTACAAGAGAACTGTGGCTTATATTGCATAATTTTATTCAATAATTACAAACTCATTTTTTCCCAATTTTATTGCACATTTTTATTTTCTTCCTTATTGAAAATCATGTTTCTGTTATTAGGCCTCTAGCAGCCTTAATTTGCTGTATGTGTGTTTAAGATAAATAAAATAAAAGAAGCTATATCAAGGATTTACTTTTGCAATTATAATTCTTTTACTGTCTCACAACATTGCATACATTCACTCCCATCGATAAATAGAAACAATAGATTAGAAAATTAAAATAATTTATTCTAATAAAATATATGAACGAAAGTGAAAGTGAGAATTAACTTAGAACACCCGAGGACTTATAGTTACAACTAATACTAGGCTTAATCTATGAGCCAACAATGATGTTGTTGATTGGAATATGTATCAGCTTGACAAAGAAACCAATAAATCCCATGATGCAGAAACCGATTGCTGTTGCGATAGCTATCTTTTGGAATTCTGAAAGAGAATAAATTTGGTATTATTATATGCTTATACAACTTGCTTCAGAAAGAATAGTAAAATCAAAGTTGATGTGTAAGAACAGATAGAGGAATCTTGTGTCAGGTTTCATTTACTGGTACCTGAATGTCTTCTCATTAAAAGGTCATTGCAAGCTCGCAATAAGGGAAAAAAATATAATTTATTTATTTAATAGGAGAGTTAGTGGTAGTTAGATAGTTTAAATGGCACAAGATTGAGCACAGAAATGCATGCCATAATCGCATTGCATGAATATGGGGAATGTATTTTTAATTAAAAAAAATAAGTGGCCAATTGCCAACGCATCGTAATCAGGACTCTAGTAAGTAATATGGAACTTTCTCAATAGAATCAAATAGTTTTTACAAACCTTTTCTGTCTGGCTTTGTGCATCTCCTTACTAATCTGATGGAGTCTTTAGCGAATTGTCTGCCAGGCTCTACGAACTTTACGATTTGGTCCATTTTCTGGAAAAAATGCACTAGTTAATTCCAATGTTTTTAAGAAAAAATAATTTACAACTTTGTAATAATTAGCATTACTTACCGATTGCTAGGATATGTACACAGAAGGGCTGAATAACCACAAATAAATAATTTATCCAATAATTCGAAAATCCGTTTGTTTCACTAGTGAACGTACGTGATAAATGTGAATGACAAAACGACAACATACAAAACGTCAGCCACGTTTCGGACAGCTTACGTCACGTCATCAGGTGGCGTTCGGAAACTTGTTACTGCTATGCGGAAACAAGAATAGACACTATCATGTTTCTATGCCTCCTATATTTATTTTTGAACTAATTTATTTTTACATACTTCTTGTTTAAATTATTTATGTAGTATTTTTCTAATCTATTTCAAGCATAAGAATACAATTTCACAAAGCTGTCAATCTATGATTATATTAATAAAATTATTGTCAATTGTCAGCTGTATGTTGACAACAACAGTTTTAAGCACAACATTTTAATATGACATTGGCAAATAGTTATATTGTGACAACTGATGAAAAAAATCAATATTTGTCAGTGTCAATGATACATTTTCCATTTATTATTTTAATATTAATTTTTGTCCAATAGTATGTCTTCTATATAGTTATTTAAAATTTACTGATCTTGGTGTTAATATTTTTATATATAGGTTGAAGCATTAATATCGTATAACTATGTTTATATGTAAATAATGCACATTTATTAATATGTGAGACTCCCGAAAAATCTCAAGAGAGTTACATTTTTGGTGCAAACTTTTCCGAGAACGCTTTTAGTTCGTATAGTTCTTAAAGCTTACATCATGTATGCTATGGAAAAAAAGTTTGAGATCGAAATGAAATTAAAAAGAGTAAGTATCCAACGAACTAAAATTGAAGCTGTTATCGTGTTCGAAAGGCTCATAAAGAGGGGCGTGCTCATTGATTCCTTTTATGTTTTAGGAAATGACGAATATCCAAGAACTAAAAGCAGCTGCAAACCGAAGTATGTCCATAGCTAATGATGTTTGCAATGTTTTGGGTGCATGTGAACAGAGGTTGCAACAGTTGGAGAAGGCTGTTCTTCCCTTATACGGGAATACTGCAAGGCTTCAGCAAATACATCAGAGTATGTAGTACATACCTTTTAACATATTTTTGAGCTATTAGTTGAATGCCTGGAAATCTTTGGATTAGGAATTTGCATTTCAAGACCTTTAACACTAATCATAACATCACATAGAATTTGATTTGTTTGCATGCTGTCTACTTCCAAGTAACTTTTAATATAGATTATTATTCAACTACATGGCAGTTTTCTTATAGCTTGTAACATGTATTGTATCTATTTCCAGATATGGAGCGCACTGTTAAGTCACTGGATCATGTAATCAATTACTACATGGTTTCAAGGGAATTGGCAGATCTTATTCAAGCTGGGCCTCACACAGCATCAACTGATGGGCTCAATATTTATCTAGAGGTAATATTTCATTGTTAGAAGAATACTGGGATGATGTCATCAAGAAGGGGATAAAAAGTAGTGGTGGCAAGGCTACACAAGCGCATGTGCACCTCATTTCAACAAAGATTGGTTGTACCAACAACATGCTTAAATAATTCAGTTTTTGTTATTTTGAAAGTAGGGAAGTTAGGTTTTTGTGATTTAATTTAATGTAGAAGTGAAACCGGTTAATACTTACTGCCCTTTTTTTATATGCTGCTACCCTAGTATGTATACATATTTATTTTTCTAGTACTTTATTTGATTATAATTCAACAGGCATTGGATAAACTTGCAGAAGCTCAAAACTACTTTAACAAAAATAATCCTCAAAGTGTGGAGCTTGAGAATATTGTAAGTAGATCATTTATGGTTTTAATTTGATCTTTTATTGGTTGATGTTCATTGACTTAAAGGCTTAGAACTTTTAATATTCTTAATTTGCATTAATATTGCAACTCTAAACTTAAGATTGATATTGTTAAATTATTTAAAAAAATTTAAGAGATGTAATAATTATTGTAAAATGGTATTATAGAATCAACTTTACAATACTGGGGTGCTCAAATTAGAGGCGGCATTTGAAGAGCTGCTTAGTCGCAACACTAGGCCATTGTCTCCGACAACTCTCATGGATATGATTGCTTTAGAAGAAGGTTAGCTGTACAGATAAAAATTTAAGATGTTCTTGTTTCATATTTTGGCTGTGTCATGAGATACAGTTTTCACTGCTAACCAGACTGCTGTTTTCTTTAGTTTTTACCAAGCAATGCGTTTAGCAATAACGGTTCTAAGTGAATAACTCTTTAATACACAATAAAGCACTGTTAAGCTATAAATCAGTCAGGTCACAGAAGACTTACTTCCAACTGTAGAAAATCAATTAATGACACAAGCACAAATGTGTCTGTCCACATAAGAACTAATTTGACAGTTGATTATCTAGTGGACCAATATATAGACACATTTGCCGAAATAGTAAGGTTGTACTATAATACAAATTATCTGACTATTTCAGATTCAAGTGTAGACAGTATATCGGTAAGTGGAAGTAACTCGACTTCTGGAAGTGCCGTGGAAACAATGAGGGCAGCAGCAGCATGGCTCAGTGCAGCTGGAAGACCACCAGCCGGTCCACTGCTCGCTATCCGTGCGCCCGCTGCTAAGAATTCGCTAATCGCTTTCAAGGATTATTTGAGATCTAGGTCGATGGCTGCTTCTCCTCTGATGGTAAGGACTCCCTGTTTCTATTGGTAAAATTTCCTTATTCAATTCATTTCAATTTCTATTTCTGTTGTATATTAATTAGTTTGCATGTGGGTAGTATTGAATCATTTTGTTTTTGATATTGGGCGAATTTTGATTAAGAACATTTTTTTCAGAGGGCGAAAAATATGTTAAACCGCGTCGATAGTACTACGAGAAGAACGAGTAAAATACAGAAAGTGTAAGTTGGGCAAAAGAGTTTCTATAAATCAGGATGGAGTTGAATTTCATTTAATTATAAAAGCTATCAATAAATTTATTTTTAGGCTAGAAAAGCGAGCTATAAATATAATGATGAAGGCTTCTCAGACGACAGGCCTGGCTATTGGACCTCGGCGTTCTATCAGTGATGCTTGTAAGTAAAGAATTGAAATGATTCATTTAAATTTTACTAGATATGCCTTGCAAGTATCTGTACTTTCTGACTGATTTTCACCTACTTTGGATACACAAGAGGCTTGCAACGCTATGGACTAAAATAATGTACAGCAAAACAGTGTACTCAGTTTTTATTAAAATTTCACATATCTTCCGAAGATATGGAGGAGTGTAGTGAAACGTTGGACGAACGCGAGGTGGAAGCAGCGGGTACCCTGGCGGCAGCCGTTTGTCGTCTGGCCCGTCGTGAGCAAAGGCACGCTTTGGGTCTTGTGCCTTTGCCTCGTCTGCCCGCTTTGCTCTCCGCTCAGCTCAAGGACTGTCTTGAGCTATTAGGTGAGTCATTAAATTTTTTTGTAGACTATTTTTGAATTGTTTTTGCGGAGCGTTCTTTGTTATTGCATTATTTTTTTGTTTTTGTCAAATAAGCAACGCGGTTTTCTGATGAGTATGAGTCTGGTACAACTTAGAATTACTTTTATTTTTATAATATTTTAATTTTTTATGATATTACATATTATCTTTTTTTAGTTTTATCTGCCGCTCTATAGTTTTTGGTCGTTTCATATGGATAAAAATTATTTATCATTTCTAGCAACTGAAGTTGATCGCGCGTGTTCGCGTAGCAGAAAAGCGGCGTCCCGTTGCTCGAGCAGCGCTGCAGCATGTTGGTCGCTATTGGCACGGTTGCAGCGGCTGCAGCCAGATTTGCAGCGAGCTATGCATCCCGCATCGCCAGCACCATACACGGCATTGCTACAAAATTGCCAGCATCATGTGAGTTGATATACCCAATCGCTTTTAATTAATTATTTTCCGTTCAAAGCGAAAACAAATCCGATATTTTTATTTACGTGGATGTTAGAATTTAACCATTTTTGACCCGAATTATCTGTCTGTAAATTGTATTGTTTGTAACCAGTCTTGACTCATGAGACTGGTATCTGATTAAAAAGTAAATAGTTTTTACTACTGCTCTATTACCTCCATCAGTTCCCATAACCTTTTATTATTGTTCTTGTCAGAGTTAAACCTTTATTTTAGTTATTTAATGTTCGTCTTACAGTGCCTACGCTCGTTGGAGGAATGGGTGGAAGGTGTGCGCAGTGACAGCGCAGCCGGTGCTGTGGACGGCACAGTGCATCAACTGCCCGTTGCTGCGCTGGCCTACTGCCAAGCGCTTGCTACGCATTTGCATGTTATCGGTTAGTTGAGAACAATAGAATAACTCTTAGATTAACGTAAGATAATCGAATATGTATCGGTTTTTTTTAAAAACATGCTAAGAAATAATATCACCTGCTCACAAGCATATCTGATATTTTTTACCTTAACTTACCTGTGCATTGTAAGTGTCTATTATAGGTGTAGGCACACTCTTTCTATTTACCCTATTCATATGGTGTAAACTTAATGGAATCTTGTACCGGTTTCAGGTCCGGCGCTAAGCACGGAAGCATCATATGCGCGTGCGGCCGGTCAGATCACGGGCGTGCAAGACAGGAACGCTCTTATGCTCTCCATCTATTTCCGTTAGTGTTATTTTTCTTTCTTTATTTGGCCAAATTCTACAACTTAATAAGCTGGAGTTTTAATCTAACCATTTTTAATTTAAATGTCCAATTTAATGTAATAATTTTTAGGCAAGGTGCTAGCGCAGTTAAATCTGTCACTGCGCAACAAAAGTGAACAGTATCCGGAGGCGTTGAAAGCGATATTCCTTCTGAACAATACTCTGTATTTGCTCCAGGTAATTTTGAAGTTTCATCTACAGTAAACGGAAACTAAAATTGGAACTTATTATATTATATATGAGTTATTGCAGGCTTATTTGAAAAATTCTAAAACAAAAAAAATAAAATAATATTTTTAGTTTACGGGAGTAGTACACATTTAAATAAAACACTTGAACGGTTTAAAACGTCTCCCCGTGACCACGGCTGCTGCAAAGCGTCCGAAACGTCGGGCCGTAGTTAAAAATTATTTCATGTAATAATTCAAAGGCAAATAAGTTTAACTAATATATCGCGTTTTAAACCGTTAAAGTGTTTTATTTAAACAAAAATAGTATATTTGTTAATTATTGCGGCGGCTTATATTCGCGCAAGAAGTGAGTGTAGAAAAGGGACCAATTAATTTAAAATAAAAGTATATCAGAATTGTTTATTAAAGTGCACGTGATTGTAACCTTTTATAAGACCTGTAATGCCATATTACGTAGTATGAACACTATCACATTAACCAAACAAGTGAAATTTAAAAAATCTTTGGCCTTGAACACTATGAAGTGCATTTCTTATTTGCTTATAATATAGTAGGTATAAGCACCATTGCTGGATTAATGTTGCAGGGTCTTCAACGCAGCGGTATTCTGGATATGTTGGCTTTGTCGGAGCCGGATTGTGAAGCTGGTTATCGGCGCATGATCAATGAGTATAAGACGAATTATTTGAAAAGGTTAGTTAACAACTTAAATTTATACTTTGACCATTCATTTGTTATGTAAGACGATTTAGGGGGAGGGGGTCTTATACTTCCACACTAGGGGGCATAAATGTTAAAATTATTATTGTTGAGTGGGTTCTGAGTCTATGGCCTAAAAATCTTGTGTTGGTAAAGTTGTAAAATGAATGAAGCGCCAAAGTCCAAAGTTTATTACCCCAAAAAATTAAATTATTAGCACCTTTGTACTTCTAAATAAACAATTCTATAAATAAATATGCTCTAAGGTACATTTTTTTTTTGAGTTGGAACAAGTTGCTCTCTCACATCGTCTTGGAGGAGCCACTGCCAGCGAAACTGAGAGACAAGGATAGACAAGTGCTCAAGGATAAGTTCTCAGTAAGTCGTAGGTTAAATTAATTAACTAATATATGTCGCGTTTTAAAGCGTAGGTATTTTATTTACATGTGACTACTCGCGTAAAGTAAACCTAAACCATTTTTACAGTCGTTCAACCGTGAGTGGGAGGAGACGACGCGTGCGCAGCGCGGCTACAGTGTGCCCGACCCCGAATTACGAGAGACCCTCAAAAGGGACAACAAAGAGGCCCTCCTGCCGCCCTACTCCGCTTTCTACGCCCACTACGCCGCGCTGCCCTTCTCCAAGAACCCCGATAAGTACGTCAAGTACACGCCATTACAGGTAATACATATCCTTCAAACTTATATATAAGGTTATTTTTTATTTACGTTGTAGATAAGATCTGATCAAAGATTGACACCAATTTTTTTATTTATTTCTGAGGTTGCTCAATGCTCATTTTGACGCCCCAATGACAAAAGTATTTTAATTGATTCCTTTTTCAGATCACAACGCAGCTGGATGGCTATTTCGATGAAGCTGCTTAACATAAGTAGCTTAGCCTTTAGTATTCAGCATTTTAACTTAGTTTAAGCTATATTTATCGTTATTTATTGATACATAGTGGCCTTATTGATATGTTGCAGAACAAATATATTACTATATTGAAATAGATTTAACCTACACAATGTGTTTAATTGTGAAAAAATAACTTTGGTCTATGTTAGATTCGATTTATTCTTATAATCGGGGTAATTCCATGGTTGTCTTCTGCTGTCTGCGAAGACAAGATAGAAGGCACACGTCCCGACGTAAATTCCCACCGCTAAGTAGAACACCGAGTGCCATTTTTCTATGTCCGTCTGGAAAGAAAGTGGTATGTTTATTATGTTTTAAATAAATTTTGGTATACTTCGTCTCGTGTAACATGGTAATTTACACGTTATGCGTACGAAGTATTGCATTTTTTTAAAGTACTTAAACAAAAATCGCATTTCATCGATGATGGTGCCATCTAGTGACGTATTTTAAAATAATTATTTATAATAGAAAATGTAGTGACATAAAATTAGACATAGGAATGATTCAAAGGCTGATTTAATACATTTGAAAAGTATTCTTTAAAAAATATGACACTCGCAAAACTCGAACCCACTGGGTACAGAGAAGTTTCCAATTTCTAGGTCACTAGAGTAAATACATAGATTAAACGATACTAACTATAACAAAAATGTTAAAAATAAACTGAATATAGTTTTGTATATTGCGATTCTCTTTATACTTACACCATCTCCGAGCATAAACCCGGCGGCGATCGGTGCAAATATTGACATCAGGTTCGCGAACACGTTGGAGAAGCCATTCATGAAACCTGTGAAATTTGGCGCCATGTCTATTTGGTTTACCTGGAATAAACATCGTTGCCATTTAAATTTCTCAAAGAAATATAACATAAAAAACAAAAATGATAATTATAAGTTTTCTAATGTTTATCTCATTTAAATCAGACATCTAACGGTTTCACATTCTAAGTATATTAGCTTTTTTTTTTATTCGACCGTTTCGGATGTATCGTCGCAGCCGTGGTCACAGGGTGCGTCATGAACCGTTAGGCATTTTACTTAAATGTACTACTCTCGTAAATAACAGACAATACTTAACGTTTAGTTTTATTTGTGTAGTTAATGTTATTTATACCAGTTATAATAATTGACATACAACAGTACATACTATAAAACCCGAGTAAATCCCGGATATACTAGCCACTGCCAAGGTCAGAAAAGCTACGGCTAGCGCTTTGTCTGGCGGCGCCGCTACCGCGAGAGCCACTAGCCATGCTGCCGGGCCCAGGAAACCTATGGCAGAGAAATAGATTTATCATACAAACTTCTTTATAATCAAAGAGGTGGATACAAGTAAAAGTTTAAGTTAGATGTTTTAAACTAACCACGTGTACACCTTAACTTTATATTTTGACGGTTTCCTTGGTGGCTAGTATTAACAATGTATGGCTAAGTGACGAGCAGTGAGTTCGATCCCCACCGACTCCAAAGGTTTCCATTTACAGAGAGGCTCGTGAATTATATTCGCGTTTCGGTTACAGTCTGTAGATGTCCGAATATCCAATGCCAAAATGGGTCGACAGCGCGTCTCGTTTAGATGATATATTGCTTGTTATATTTCACCTTTAATCAAATGAACTCAATTACTTAATTATTACTATAGAAATACCTTACCAATGCTGGTGAAAAGTTTCCTTATCGTGGTCAACTGTAGCCATTTCTTTTTTTAAAATAAAATCAGCAATATAACCCATCGGAAAGCAGGCCAGGAACAGAGCTAAGTAAGGAAGCGCCGATAGAGTGCCGTTTTCTCGTAAATTCATTCCGTGTATCTGCTTCATGTAGTTGGGAATTTGAGTAATCAATGTGTAGAAGCCCCATTTGAAACCGCAGTAGGTCATTATGGTCGCTACGAAAGGCATGGATGAGACGATGGCTTTCCATGGCACTTTAAGTTTCTGAAAAAGTAAGATAAAATCTATTATATATTTGAAAACTTATTTTTCACACGATGACACTATATAAATTAATAAGGGATTATAAATAAAAATGTACCTCAATAAGTAAGTGTTAAGGTTGAAATTACAATGCGCATCAATAGGTTTTAAAGAATTCGACGATGAGGTGTAAGACACGGTAACTCAATTGCTTACAGCGACAGCATGTCTGGAACCGGCACCTGTGGATGCCGGTTCCTGGCCTGCGTCGTAATTGTTTTAATGTATAATTACACAATTTATACCAACAGTCAGGCGGGACTAAAAGCGCTCAGCATGGAAGAGACAACATCTGCCATTGTCAAGGAATATAAGAAAGCTTGAGACACCAAATGTACGCAATATGCCAATAAACGTTTGGGCTTATTATTTTTACGAATCTGAAATACTTATGAAATATATTTAAAATAGCATACCTCCGTCCTATATCTATAACCTAAAGAGGTCTGTATATAATTTCGTTCTTCTTTGCTAATGATTTTTGACTCCGCCGGTGACTCTGCGCCGACGAACAGATAAATAAGCAACCAGGACACACCGACTATAGTGTAGAAGTAGAAGATGGAGGGCCAGCCCCAGTACTCCGCTAAGTAACCAGATGTTATCAGTTGGAAAGCGTTGCCTAGTTGAATACCTACAAATGTTCAAAGGCTATGTAGATTATGGCCGAGGAATCGCGCATGCGAACGCAGCAAAATCAGCAGATCATGTCAGATGATTGAAAATGTTCACAATTACGTTGTTTATCTATAATAATACATAATAGTATTAAATAAAGCTGAAGCTATAAGTTTTGAAGATGAAGACGTTTGCTAAAAAGAACCTTGACGGCCGAAATAACTTCTACGCGGACAACTTCGAGTCGCATAGCTAGTAACGTTGTTAATATATAGATTCAAAACCATAACAAGACACGTGTGATATGTATCTATATGTTTTATTTTTTCAATTACAATCGCGCAGATTTGCTTAATAACGTCCGCATTGCTACGAATATTTTTGCAAGATTGCTAATTTAATATAACCTACTTTTATACTTACCGGAGTAAGTGAAGCTGCCAAGCCTGCTCCTCTCTTCTTCGGGCACCCATTTGCTCATGAGTGTCAGACAAGACGGTGCAAGAAACGCTTGAAATATTCCTTGTACGATGCGGCAGCCGTATATCATCTTCCAGCCGTCCGGTCCCTGGATTAATTCTAATTCAGTCTTTTGACAATTATATATAGGTAGATAGTGATTAGTATCTTTTAATATTCCTTTTCCTGTTACTAAAGAGTGGATTTCGAATACTAAAATTGCGAGAAAAGAGACAGCATTATTTTTGTTAATGTCAATAACGTGATAATACTTTTAGACCTGTTCTACGGTAATCACTACTTCACTGCTAATATTATAAATGCGAAAGTAACTCTGTCTGTCTGTCTTTAACATTTCACATATATTATTGTAGAGCCTGAGAAAGGACATTTTTAATGCCAAAAAAGGGATGTTAGGTGTTGAAAAAGGGGATGCAAGTTTGTATGAAAATTCGTGATTTTTGAAGCTATACAATGAAACTTTCTTCTTTAACTTTTTTGAGGATGGGAGTGAGGGTGAAAGTGAGAATGGAACTGGGAGTGATGTGAGGTGGGAGGGGGAGTGGGAGTGTTGCGGAAAAGTAGCACTTACAACACAGATTGGCTGCCTTGAATGCGCCTTTGTATTATAATACCTTTTGCTGTACGAAAAGAGTTTGGGTGGATGTATCGTAATTAATTTTTATAGAACTTACTAATATTATAAAAGCGAAACTAACTATAAAACTCAAATAAGCATACAAAAATATACTATACCCTGGATATACTTATTATGATAATAACTTCTTTGCAGTGGAACACTGTATTTACACACGTGTCTTATTAAATTCGTAAAACAAATAAATAAGCAGCCTAAATAATTGAAAAATTCTACCCAAAGTTACTATTCCACGTGAACGAAGTCGCGGGCACAGCTAGTCTAATATAAAACACCTAACTAAAGGAAGTGTATTTACAATTCACATATAATTATAGTTTCACAATGACGTGTACTTAATTTATAATTATCATTCTGACGACGTGATAGGTATTTCCTTTTAACCCAATATAACCTAAGCAAGATGTCTCAGTCCAGTATATTACAGAATTCAACTTACTCTTGGTACTTGGGTATTTAGGGTTCCGCTGTTCTTTTACGAGGAATTAAGTATTAGGTCTTGTCTACGTAATTATAAATCAGTGCGCATTGACAAAACGAATGCTAAGGACTTTTCCTTACAAGAAATCTGCAGAAAGGCAAAGCCAGAGACGCAGCAGAGTTAACAACCAAACTGAGCATGATGAAGCGCCTACCACCATAGCGCGTGGTTAAAACCCCCGCGGGGAATATCCCCACGAAGTAGCCCCAAAACAGAGACGACTGCAGCGTGCTCTGGATTTTCAGATCGATGTCGAAGTGCTGGAAGAATTAGAGAATTGTTTTATTTGCGGAAATTAGATCGATAAGCTTAAAAATTATTTATATCCTAATAAACATGCCAAATTAAATTGTAATATAACTATATCTATCATTATTTGGTTAGGTTTTTGGCAAATATATAAGAATATTAACTTTTATTAAATCCCTAGCTACGCCAGAGACTTTGCGTAGAATAGTTACTATAGTATACTGTCGCGAACGTTTAGATAATTTAAAGTGTATCTTTAACCGTTTTTCCAGGATACGTAACGGAAACCGACAAAGTTGAATAATTTTCCTTGTTTTCCCCACTGCTCCCCATCGAAAAAAGTTTTCAGCTTTATAATATTAGTACATTTATACCATTCGTTGCAGCCAAATATAAGACTAGCCATCTCGACAACTAATAACAAGTGGCCCGATCCCGAGTGACCTTCTTGACATTGCACTTTACACAGTACGCTATTAGTGCGCATCACCTGTTCGCTGCTTTTATCAGTCATAGCGATGAGAGCAAGATTAAGGTTGTTCCTTGATGCATAACAGATAATGTTGGCTAGAAACAGCATTGTTATCTGCACGTGTCGGATTCCCAGCATCTGTAATATGAAATTACCAAAATAACGATTACACCAAATACTGTCTGTGGTTTACGCGAGTAGTACACATTTAAACATGATTATTTAACGATGTAAAACGCGATATTTATACTTATTTGGAAATTATTCAAACCACGGCCCGACGTTTCGGATGCTTTGCAGCAGCCGTAGTCAAAGGAGGGTTTTAAACCGTTAAAGTGTTTTTTAAACTATTTCATTATGTCTTGTACCTCGAAGTAGACGTCGAGATGGTCCCCGTGGGGTATATCCCGTTAACCTGGAGGGGGTGTGGTTGTGGTTAATAAGTTAAATTCTTTCTGCTCCATTCCATTTCCGTCAGAAAATCCCATCTCCATTAATACGTTAGTTAGTAATCTTACTTAAATTTGCAAAGCAATTAGGAACGAAAGATAAAATACCCACTTTCTAATTGTTCAGTAGACCAGTTTGTTGCACGAGATAAATATTAAATACTCGCGACTTTAAGTGAATTCGTAGTAAATGCACAGTTTTAATTGTATTAGATAAGATTAATGTGAGCCATAACCTAAATTAGCGAGATAGCAAAGGGCACAAGCCAGGTCTATTTATATACACTAGTACAATGTTATTGCAGTTATTATAATGATTCAAGAAAAAAATATTATTTCGCCTTACTAACGTAATTATAAATACATATACGGAAATAGTCAGCTCAATTGGTATACCGGGAATTAATCGTATACGAGATCGAGTAGTTGAAACAGAGGTGGATTTTTATATAGATATATTGGCACATTTTTTTTTAATTAAACATTAATGCACTTATCGAAAAAAAATGATAATTAAAATATTGTCTGTAAGTAGTTTACGCGGGCACAATGCTTTAAGACGCGAAATATATAAGTAGCACCGCGAAACGTCGGGCCGTAGTTATAATAACAACGTAAATAAATTAACCAACATATTTTGCGTTTTAAACCGTTAAGAGTTATTTGATTGCAATCATAATAATAATTAGGTTACTTAGGACTTACTGTTATTGTTTTCTTGAGTATCACTAAAGGAATTTTATCGCGTAGACATCGCATTTGGCGTTGCACCGCTTAACTTTGCAACTCCGAGATGTAGATTATGCACAACTGTTGACTCAAGTATCGAGATTGAAGAACTTTTACCACGAGTTATCACCAGATAACATTTAAGCCTTAGGAGGATAAGAATTAAATGACGATGCAATATATAACATTCTACTTATAACCGTGTTTTGCAAGAAGAAACTATTGTTAACAATGGATGGAACTATGCACAGGAAAAACTAACATGCGTTAAAATAATTTAACAGAATTTCTAATTTTATTAACTTAAAAATATTAACAATAAAACTTTACCATAAAGAAAATGTGTTTAAAAATTTAAGCTATATTACTGATGACTAATTACGACCGATTTCTTATTATAATTAGGGTCGTTCCAGGGTTGTCTTTTGCAGTCTGCAAACATGAGGTAGAAGGCCCAGGTCGTTACATACATCGCAACTGCCACGTAGAACACCAATTGCCATCTACTTCTGTTACTCTGGTGATGAAAATGTTCGAGTGTACATTTTTTATAGCCTTACTCATTTTCGACGATTTGAAACGCGAATGTATTAGTAAAGTTATTTAAAAAATATATTAAGCGAGGCCCGACGTTTCAAAAACCAATAACATGGCGCTACCGTAGCAGATTTGACTTTGGCCTTCGATTTTAAGTCTCCCCAACCCCCGACTGTTGCAAAGCGTCCGAAACGTCAGGCCTTACTTAAAATAATTTGTAAATAGGCTAAATACATTTGCCATTTTAAACAGTTTATTTTAATTACACTTTGAAATAAACTGACGTCTATTCTAGAGTGAAGATCCTAAATTGTCTGGAATTTACCTTTTCATTGCATGCATTTGATTGAATATAGGACCTTACCCCGTCGTCTCCCAGCATCAGCCCAGCTGCAATGGGACCCAATATTGACATGAAGTTGGCAAAAATATTTGAGACAGCATTCATAGCGCCCGCATAGTTCGGCGCCATGTCTAAAGGGCTCATCTGGAATTGATGTCAAATGTTATGGCAGATAAAGGATATATGCAAACATACAAAGCTGTTTAGCAAGTCTAGCGAATGGAGTTTCCATATTCTTTGACTTTATATTCAAAGGAATTTATAAGGTAAGTTGCTGTGCCCGCGATTCTTAAAAGATGGGCATATACTGTCGCTTTGCATCGAAAATATACGTTTTTTTTCTGATCCTTATTAATAGATATTTTTCAGCTCTCACCATAAATCCAGGGTAGATACACGCAATACTCGCTATGGCCAGTGTAAGGAAAGTGATGGCAGAAACTTTGTCTCCTGGCTGCGTTTGCGCAGCAGCTATTAGCCAAGCAGCGGGGCCTAAGAAACCTGTCCATTATTCCATTTAATATGTTTAGATCAGAACAAAGAACGTTATGGATTTGTGCAGTGCTTGTTCTCGTGCTAGTTCTCGAACAGACGACATTATTCATTAATTATGTTTAAGGTTGTGAGTTAATTTATTTTAATTCTAGAAAACTTACGAACCAAGGGTAGTAAAGATTTTTCTGAGCGGAGTCAAGCCAATCAACTTCTTCTTTAGAATGAAGTCAGCTATATAACCAAGTGGGTACGTGCTGATAAACAGCACTAAGAAGGGTAACGCTGACAAAGCGCCGTTCTGCAGGACATCGACATTAATTAGAGATTATTAACAAATACATTATCCTTATTGCGACAAGCAATACGAAAAAACACGTCTCGTCGAAATGAATATTATATATGTCTGTATAGCTAACGTGAAATGAATTGGCATATATAAGTTAAAAAAAAAAAGGATTTAGCTATAAGCCTTCGAAATGAAACAGTATGCATTCATTGATTAGTATTATAAAAGAATTACCTCACGTAAATTGACGCCGTGCACTTTATTCATATAAGTGGGGATTTCAGCAACAAGGGAATGGTAGCCCCACTTAAACCCACAAAACGCGAAGACGAGAGCTATAAAAGGCGGTGACGTCATCAGAACGCGCCATGGCGTGCGAAGCTTCTACAAATTATAAGAATTGTCCGTGACGAGAAAAAGTGACTAAGAGTTTATTTTTGACAAAAAAAAGAGAATTTCGAAATGGACTACCTTTGTTTTCCCGTTAAATCCCAAAGAATTCTGTATGTAGCTGCGTTCTTTCTCGCTGATGAATTTAGACTGCGCAGGAGACTCCGCACCGAAGACACTAAACAGAATAAACCACGAGAAGCCGAGGATTGCGTGGAAGTAGAACACGGAGGGCCACCCCCAGTAGTCCGCTAGGTATCCCGATGTGAGGATTTGAAAGCCATTTCCGAGGTGGATTCCTGGCGGTGATAAAGAATATTATGGAAGTACTATAATTAAATTAGATGTCGTTTTTCTTCTAAAAATTGCTAAAAGTAAAAAGTATTTACCAGAATAAGCGAGACTTCCCAGGCGACTTCTCTCCTGTGCTGGCACCCACTTGCTTATTATTGTTAAAACAGAAGGTATCACAAAGCCTTGGAATACTCCTTGAATGACCCGACAAACAAATATCATCTTCCATCCTTGGGGACCCTGCGGTACATTATGCGAATAAATGTGCAACTCATTTGTATATTTGTTTGTCAATATACCGACAGATGATTGAAATCTAACAAGCAACGGTATAAAACACGAAATATACTAGTTAACTTAGTTAAAAAGTTAACAATTTATGTAAATTACGGCGTTACAGATGCATTGCAGCAAGTGTTGTCACGGGGGGACTGCGAATATCTTTCGCGTTTTAAACCGTTCAGTATTTTGTTTTAATGTGTACTTGCGTAAACTACAGATGTCACTTGAAAGATGATTTAATATGACCGGCTAATAGTTTAGGGTTATGCTCTAGATTAAAATAGGACTTGGTATTCAGAAGTTTGTCAAGACTTGTTGTAAATCTAGGAACACTGAAACTTTGTGAAAAGTCACATTCGAAAGAACTGTTTAGTCAGTTGACGTGTATCAAGTGTCTGACGAAAAGTTAAAAGAATACTTTCTACCCTTGACTCTTTATACTTGAATCGCTACTTACAATATATGTGCAAAATGGTATCACTAATGCAGCTACTGTATTCATAAACATCGCGAGTAAGAGGAGTTTCTTCCCCCCAAATCGCGTGACCAATTCGCCCGCGGGTAGTATGGACACGAAGTAGCCCCAAAACAGACAGGACTGTAGAGCATTTTGAAACTTTAGGTCTATGTCGAAGTGCTGAAAACAATGTATTATCTTGTTTATGAAAGAAAACTGAATAATTAGGAAAAAGTAGGCGTTATTTGTGTTTAATTCCATAGCTTTTCTTAAAATTCCACATGCTGTAAAGTGAGTGTGGGTATACCAGAACCAGCGTAACAGTGTTCGTTTCGGCGTTACGAAGGCAATATATTCTGTCATAAAAAACACGTATTACCTTTTCAACACTTTTGTCCGTCATAGCTAGTAAAGCAACGTTCAGATTGTTTTTCGACGCATGGTTTATAAGGTTCGCCAAAAATAACAATATTACCTGCACGTGGCGGACACCGAACATTTTCTACACGATTCTTACGTCGTTCTGTTCCGAACTTAAGTATTTAATACGCTGTTTCACCTGTTAATTAGTAAATAACGAACAAAACCATTAACAAACTTGTTTAATAACGCTTCGAACAACAAAACTACAAGAATTAATACATAAAAATGTAGTTAAATTCATTTGTTTGTTACTTGGGTAATTATTTAAATTTATTAACCCTTGAAATAAGAGTTATTTTCCGTTTTGGCGTTAATTCTTAGCATATAATAAGGATTTTCTCTATGAATTGTTTGTTATAAAATAATAGTATGTATAATACAAATCAATAATAATAATTAATCAAAAACATTTCAGCCTTCCGTCACTTGTTTCTTATTTTTCTTGTAGTCAGGGTCATTCCACGGCTGCTCCCTGCAGTCGGCGAATATTAGGTAGAAGATAGAAGCAGCAACGTGAAAAGCAATGGCCACGTAAAACACTTGCTGCCATTTTCCCAAATCCGTCTGAAAATTTTGTTTTTATTCTAATTATATAAGCCAGCTCGACGGGCTCCTTGGTCTTACTTTAAAACTTTAAGTTTAAACTACCTTCAAGTAGACATACATAAATAACTGAATAAAATATTAATTTATTATAAAAACTTAATTCAATTTTCATTGAAAAATGAAAACCTTGAAATAATAAAATACCTATATAAAATGTAATTTAAAAATATTCTTAATAAATCTATCCCGTTTGATAGCCCGTCCCGATATTTACCCCATCTCCCAGCATAAACCCAGCCACAATCGGAGCGATGATGGACATCAGGTTCGCGAACACGTTCGTAATTGCCATCATGCTCGCCGGGAAGTTTGGCGCCATGTCCAGGTGACAGATCTTTCAAGGAAGTTTGTTTATGTATTTTTTCTTACTTGGTATTTGGTAAACAAACATGTGGTTTGCTTACCAAGTCCAAAGTCAAGTATAAAGTAAAAGTATAAATAAAACTAATGAAACTAGGGATAACTAACTAAATCAGGGATGCATAGACTTATTAAGACTAAAGGCCACTCGGGCTAATCAAGATATGATGGCGGGCCGACAAAAGTATAGATAATTAAGGACAATAAAGAATAAATAATGTACTAAAATTTAAAAATAACTTATTAATTCAAGTGTTATTTTTGCTGCCGGCTGGCCACGAGTATTCGACTGCCGGGCCGCGGTCTATGCATCTCTGATGTAAATGGACACATAATATTTTAAATCCCTCCCCGTGACCATGGCTGCTGCAAAGCATCCGAAATGCCGAAGTTAAAAATCATTTTCAAATAACTTTAACTAATATATCGCGTTTTAAACCGTTAAAGTGTTTTATTTAAACATAATATTTTTTTCAGTATGACATTTAAGAATGGGATCTAAGCAAAGTCAACGACAATAGATAGGATAGAAGTCCCATTCATGACCGTCGAGTTAAATAATAATGACATAAAATTGAGTTCGTCATAAAACTTGAGAGATATTGAGGTCGTTTGATCCGTCGAATATATATCGATGTTTCTTTACCCCTGTATCGTGTGTGGCATCAACTGCATCACACGATACAGCACATGATCGATTTTTTTTAATTACAGAAAATACACTATACATATAACATGACACTAACTTTGCACTAAATAAATACAATTTTTTCTATTAGCTAGCCAGTTTGTGTCGCCAATACTACTTCTTTCTTATTACTAGACGAATAATGTTTTATGAGATTTGCTAATGCCTACGTCGGTACTGTGAGAATTGATAGTATATACTAAGCACTATAGAAACCAATTAGTAATAGTATACATTTCGACGTGTGCCGTTGTATTTCTTTTTGCCATTATATTCTATAATATTATGTGTATTTGGAATTACCAAGAAGCCAGGGTATATTCCAGCGCTGCTGGCGACCGTAAGAGTAAGGAAAGCAACGGCTGCAGGTGTGCTGTTGGGAGACGCTTGAGATAGAGCTAGAAGAGACGTAGCGGGACAGATGAAACCTGTGAAAATCCTCAAGTTAAAGAGCTTCCGATTTGGCATTTACTCGTACAGTGTAACAGAATAGGCAAGGTCTTTTCGGCGTTACACGTTAGTATACTAAAAATAGTCGCAATGTTTTCGGAGATACAACTCTCAAATTCAAAGTCAAAAACATTTATTCACGTAGCTAACTAGGCTCACTTATAAACGTCACCTTAGTTAAAAACAAAAGACTAAATTTACTGCCAGTTCTCAAATGTAGGCTGTAGAATGAACGAGAAGAACTGGCAAGAAACTCGCCGTCACTCCTATTATTGCCAAGAATTTTCAAAATAACTACCATGAATATATGGAAAAAGCTGAGATAACAAAAAAAATAAGATTTAATAAGTTACACTCACCAAGTGTGGTGAAAAGCTTTCTCACGGTGGTGACTGTGCACCACTTCCTCCTAATCATGAGATCTGCGAGGTATCCCGCGGGAGAGGCACATAGGAACAGTGCTAGATATGGTATCGCTGTCACCAAACCGCTCTGGAGAAAATCTCATGTATTAGAAGATATAAACAGATATATATATATATATATATAAACAGATAAATAAAGATATATAGATATATTGCATAAACAGGTTTAAACAAATGAATGTATTTTTACCTGTTTTATGTTAAGCCCTTGCATCTGTTTCATGTAAGTAGGTATTTGCGTGAGCAGAGTGTAGAACTCCCACTTGAACGCGCAGAAGGTGATTATCGTTGCAATGAAAGGCATCGATGTGAATAGAGCCTTCCACGGAGTGCGCAGTTTCTGGAAAATAACGTATTCTCCCTTCAAACTAGCTTTATTTAATCAGTAAGATGAACCATTTTCTATCCAAGCGGTTCAATCTCTATTATAGATAAGCTGGCTACCTAAAGTCGCCTATTTAATTTACCTCCACACTCTGGCCAAATGCCAGATCGAACAGAAATTGTACACTGTAGATGCCGGTTCAAGTCCTGCCCGTGACATATTTTTTTTTCAATCTATAATCGATATTTAATTTGCATAGTGTCATCATGTGCAATAACATATAAAAAATATTAAACTTTTCAAACGTCGAAATACAACCAAACTTAGTTACCTGTTTCATGCTGCGAGAGCCCAAAGATTTCTGTACGTATATTCGTTCCTCTTCGCTGATCAACTTTGACTCAGCAGGTGACTCTGCTCCAAAAAGGGCGAACGCCACGAACCATATCGAACCCAAGACACCATAGAAGTAGAAAATAGATGGCCAGCCCCAATAATCAGCCAGGAGACCAGACGTTGCCATCTGAAAGGCGTTCCCGAGTTGGATGCCTAGAAGGATATAGATTCCTTTGTTAGTATCTTATCTTGTTAAAAACCCTTTAACATAACATTTCTTAAACACTGTCTGTAATTTACGCGAGTACTACACATTTAATTAAACACTCTAAAGGCCCAATCACTACATTCGCTTTGACCAACCAAAAGTCCACGCAGAGAAGATTAGATTTTTTCCAAGAATGGTACGTGAACGTACTGTATGTACCCATATTAAAAAGTCTGAAGTCCAAACAGCAGGAGACCTGCAAACGCTTAGTCAATACTGCAAGGATTCGGCTAGAGCACCAAATACCAACTCGCCGAAACGGTTTCTTCCTTTGCGGTTTTTTTTTTTTTTAGGACACTAACTTTAGTTTCCTCGTGAAATTATTTAGTATTTATAAAAGTGTTTTATTTAAAAATAACATTTCTTACTAAGACGATACCTGAATAAGTGAAGCTGCCGAGGCGACTCCTCTCTCCTTCGGGAACCCATTTGCTGATCAGCGTAAGGGACCCAGGTATAAGGAAAGCTTGGAACAGACCCTGAACAACTCTACAACCGTAGATCATCTTCCAGCCTTGGGGTCCCTAAGAATATGTATAAAAACTTTTAAACTCACGCTAAAGTTAGAAATATGTATATAAGAATTTAGTACTTTTTTAGTTTGTAATTTATTAATCCACACAGTTGAGTCTGATTAAACCTTAGGTAAATTATATTTTGTCCACTATTTTAAAGTCCCTTAAAGATGAGTTGATTACGCTAAGATGTTATTTTTCTATGGTCAACATACCAAAAACCTACTGAACGGTATTGCAAACGACGCAAGCGCATTAACGATAGCATGAAGGAGGAGGAAACGTCTCGCACCGAATCTCGTGACCAGCTCTCCAGCTGGTACCAGGGCGACTTGGTATCCCCAGAAGAGAGACGTCTGCAGCGTGCTCTGGGTCTTCAGATCTATGTCAAAGAACTGAAATTTGATCAAGCAAACATACTATAAATGGTTAGTGGTGCTTTAGTGTTGTGCCATGATAAGACAAAAGGTTTGAGTAAAACTCATTAATTTTACTTTAACTACTGTTCCCAGACGAAAATTATTAAAAACTATCAAATATTATAGGGATATTTCTTCCAACCTGTCTGCAACCATTTGTTTATTATGTTACCGTAATACTTTCCATTGTCAAAGTATGTAAGAATTAAAATTTAAATATTTTTATTAAACTACCTCCTATTAACGCCAATAATTGGAATAGGTACTAATTCATTATTTAACAATGTTAAGCGCTTATTATTATTAATAGGTACACATTTCGATTGAATTATACACTCTCTGAAACGTCGTGATTTTGGGCACGTTAGTTGTAAATGATCTGTTCAGCACAAGCATATATTAAAAGTTATACATAATCAAAGTTATACATTACATATGTACTGTTCTTGTCCGTCATAGCGAGCAGCGCTATGTTCAAGTTGGATCGCGTAGCATACCCAACGATGATGACAGTAAACAGAAACGCGATTTGCACGTGACGTACGCCTAGGCATTCTGTAAAGCATAGAACTTAATTATTATCGTGTCACACGTGTGTTAGTTACCATATTCTCCCGAAACGGCTCGACATATATTAATGGAATTTTATATGCATATTCCGTAAGTCAGAGAATCGGCAACTATCTTTTTCGTATCTCTAAGTAATAAGAGTTATCCATCCATAACATTTTATAAAATTTATTTTTAGCATTAAAAGTATATATAACTCTAAATTTAGATTTTTTGTCCTGCTCGTTCACAGCGCTCCACACGAAATATTTTAGTTAAACTTATTTGAAATTATTTTTAACTAAAATTAAATTTAACTTAAATATATCGCGTTTTAAACCGTTAAAGTGTTTTATTTAAATGTGTACTACTCGCGTGAACTACAGACAATAACGTATATAAGTATTAAATCGTTTGCCAGGTCAGCTATGTATTATTGTATATATATTGTCAATTTATATGGCACAGGCCAGTGTTATAAGCTCAGTGGTCGAACCTGGGCTCGCAATTTAGCGCTTATAATACAAATATCACTTACTGCTCGGTTTTGTGATGGTAGTCTCATCTTCGGTAGTTTTATTCATGTTAGCGCAAGCCTCCAGCGCAAGATTGCAAATGTATGAAAATTAAACTTTATCTTGTAAATTATCTCAAGATAAAGAGCACGTAGCAACTCTGAAACGATCTCGCATTAGGAAGGCGTTGAAACATTACAAATTACACGATATTAATAAAATAGCTTTTGGAAGAACTCTTTTTGTATAGTAGCTAAAAACACAAATCTGCCACAGACGGGGAAACAAATCTAGAATTTTGTAAGGTTACTTCAATGCTAGGCATCGCGTTAATAGCAGAAGTAAATTAGACAACTATAAAAACTAGATGACATGAGAGGAAAACAATCGTTTTCAATCCTCCATCAAATGGATTTAATCTATTAAGGAAAAGCTGATTACTAAATGTTTTATTTAATTACTTAATTGAAACTTACCATAGAGGTATATCTGCAATACAGCGTGCGCGCACCTAATATAATTATTAACTTTTATGGGCGAGAAAATATGGTTTTCATTAAACGTGTATTGTATATGTAAGCTTGTTTAATACACAAATGTATTTACCTTTCCACTTTGATTGGAGAATCTAAACACAATGCTCGAAGACCTCAACACAAACAACTCCAAGCAGGTAGACCTGAGTATGAACATGGACAAGACGAAAATAATATCGAACGCCGATGTAGTGCCTACCTCTGTATCTATTGGAAGGGCTGTACTCGAAGTTGTTGACGAGGTTTCACAATTAGGTAGATCCAACTTCGAGAAAGAGGTCAATCGTCGAATCCGACTCGGCTGGGCAGCGTTCGGGAAACTAGACAATCTTTTCATCCCGTATACCTCAGTGTCTTAAAACTAAAGTGTTCCAGAAGTGTGCGTTACCAGTGATGACGTACGGTACCGAAACATGGTCTTTTTTCATGACAAGAACACAGCGGCCAGTTATTAATTAATTACCACATTATGACGAAGCACTGTCGCACGGTCCAATAGAATACTCAAAATAGACATCACTTCCTACGCTACAAAAGAGAATTTAAGTAGTCCAAAACGACTTAACAAAATACGCAATGGTTGAATCGATCTAAACGGGTTACTTTTTGAAACGCAATAAGTACGATACAGCGGCAGTAAGCTATAAAGCGACCGGCAGTTCGAGACTAATATGAATGAATGAACAAACTTCAATCGCTGCACAATTCGAGTGACTACCCTCAGGGCACGAAATAAATTAACAATATAAGTCCGTCATCGCAATGCGACTATGTCAAAATCCTCTTCTTAAATTAATGAATACTGAGTATTAGTCATAAAAAATAAAACAGCTCACCAGAGAAGACTTTATTAGGTCTAGAAGGCGCATTCGCGACACGCTCGTCATCTCATGTCTTCCGACTCGAATCTGCTTCAGTATTGCTGCGCTTTGGGCACGTAGACAAGCACTCGCCAGCATAATTTACGGTCTAAGACGGATTAACGAGGCATACGTTGGATTAGATCTTTTAACTCTAAATTAACTTTATAAGTCGGCGCTACTGTTCGTCGTTCGTTTTTAAAACTTTTTGAAACTGCGTGTAGGGTCACCCCCATACCTTACCAATGCAATAAAGATCATTCGCATTGGTTTTCATTTAAATCAGTATATATTTCTTAAACTAAAATAATATTAGTATTGAATAAGAAGGACAAATATACAGCATAATTAGAAACAAAAAGTTCGATAGGAAAAAACCGTTTTATCTTTCTCAAGTATTATAATTACAAAATGTACTCTTACAATAGTCCATAGTTGGTAATATTAAATTAACTTTATAATAGTCTAATGTGTAGTGCTTTTACTTTTAAGTTGTTTTCAGTCTCACTATTTCTTCTTAGGATTCCTGTATCGACGTGGCCACTGCAACAAAAGGTCGGTCGATACTTATCACTGAACTGTCTAGAGTTTAGTCCTTCGCACCGCAAACTGTACTAGTTAGTGCGAAGTTTAAACCGTGATTTTATTATGATGATGGTTTTATCAATTCTGTTTTCTATTAAAAAATCTGATATTAATTTGAGTTTAAAAATGTTAAATACCATATATTCTACTTAATGAAGTCGAAAAGTCGTATCTAAATAAACTTTTAACAATGAATGTATGATTTTATTTCGAGTTTAGATTATGAGGCAGACACATTTACGTGTCTGTTTGTTGACATATGACATAACAGTCTAAAATTCAATGTTAAATAGGACAAGTGCTAATATTAAAATATCTCGTGACAAACATTGTAAAGATTACTGAAGCTATCAGACACTTGAAAATCCTTTGAACAGCTTCATCTGACATTAATTCAATATGCATTAAGATAATTCAATAATAATACGTCCAAGTGTGATTTGATATCTCTTCGTGATAATATTGTCTTATTAAACTGATATTCAACTAACGTAATCCTTATTTAATTCCTTTTTAACATTCCTAATCGAAATATAATTATATAATACGAACGACGTAACTTGGCAAGTCTGAACGGAGGTTGTTGCTCTTTGGCGCTGTCCCCCCCTAAAAAAAACTTATTTTGCCCTTTTTTTTCTTTCCTGGGATAAATGAAAGTTTTTCCCCCCCCCAGGCAAAAGGGGAACCCCCCATTTTTTTTCCAAAAAAAAAAGGGGCCCCCCCCCCCCCCCCCCCCAAAAAAACAAGCACAAGGGGGAATTTTTTTTTTTTTTTTTTTTTTTCCCCCCCCCCCCCCCCCCCCCCCCGGCCCCCCCCCCCCCCGACCCCCCCCCCCCCCCCCCCCCCCCCCCCCCCCCCCCCCCCCTCCCCCCCTCTTCCCCACCCCCCCCTTCCCCCCCCCCCCCCCTTTTTTTTTTTTTTTTTTTTTTTTTTTTTTCCCCCCCCCCCCCCCCCCCCCCCCCCCCCCCCCCCCCCCCCCCCCCCCCCCCCCCCCCCCCCCCCCAATAAATTGAATAAACTCAACGATAGCATGTGGGCCTGGGTAGCTCGTCTAATTGGTTAGAGGAACAGCACGGAACGCTGTAGATGCTGGTTCACGTCCGGCCCGAGTCGTAATTTTTTTCAATTTAAAATCGATTTTTATTTTACTTGACTATGCTCCGCGATTGCTTCAAGACGGTATTACTTTGCTTAATTCAGGAACACTCAATATATCAAGTCATCCTGTATAATTTACGATATTGGAGCACCTTGAAACTATTCAGCTTCAAACACAATTCTCATTGGTGGTCTAAAGTTGAATCAAACATTTAGTTCAAAGTGAAGCTGTTAGAAGTTACTCAATGTCTTTTTATGAAAGTACGTCAGCTGAATATCTCACCGATCCATGTCAAATCACTCTCAGACGCTCGGTTCAGTAGTCTCCGAGGGAAATCAAGTTCAGTAGTCTGCAGCAGCCAAGAAGTGGGCGACAGAGGCGTGATTACTTTACCAATACCCGCTTAACTGCACTAAGCCGCCCCGATAGACGCACCGACATACGTTACTTGCGTCCGCCGACTATTGCTTATTACGCGAGCGTCCGCCTCGTGTCCTGGGCTTGCGGCCTCTGCCCGCTGCGCTCTAGCCAACAGATTGGGTTCATCATCAATTCACTAGATTATATGAATACGATGCGCTCACGATATGGTGTAACGTATACTTTCAGATTTACATGAATTACCATTACAAAATTTATATTTAACGATTCAAAACGCGAAATATACTAGATCCAGGAGACCGGAGCTGCTGCAAGGCATCCGGTACGTCGGATCAGATAAAAATAAATGCCTACTTTTAAAGATTACACGGAGTAATTCCCGGAATTACAACCAGCCTTGTATCTAAATTAAGATGTGCGCCATTAAACTTTCACCTTCTTCGGTAGATTAACTTATGAGTTACTATCATAATGATAAAATATCTACATAAATTAAATAATTAAAAATGGACATTAAACTGGCTTAGTGAAATTTGTGATTTAGGATTCTTTATTACCTAAGACAATATTTTGGTGACGTTTTCATAAAAAATAAAACGGGGAAAGGTATAGGATTACGATAAATAGTACTTCTTCTGTAGTTCAGTCCGATGGATGTGATGAAACTGCATTGTAACCAAATATATCGTGAGCGCATTTCCAATCTTACAGCTTTGCCCAAGATCCAGTTTTCACAGAACAAGCAACATACTGACTAATGCCCGCGATTTGCTCGCTTTAAATATGGTCTAACTCCTACTATTTATTACATCTTCAGTATCGGTTCAATAGTTTTATATTATATTTAAAAAATATTAATAATAAAACTTTTTTTTATTAATCATATGATATGTGACTGACGAATTGTAGATATCAATCAATTGACCACTATGCTTTAGATATGTTAATTTAGATTATTTAATTATAATTTACTAGTGATGTTACACTATAAAAATATTTTCTTTACTTTAACTTCACTAAATGCCATTAAGTTATTAGTCATAAATACATCATAGTGATGGTTCATTTAAAGTAATGTAATTTATACTGTTAGTGTACAAAAAAGTACCTGTAGAAGGCATGAATAAGGGAAAGAAAGAGAGAGAGAGTGACTCTTTGAGTTCAAAGTACATACCTTGATGGCCTGTGGTGGTGTTTTACTTCTTGCGGGTGTCTTAGGCACGTGTTTCGGTAGCTGGTCTTTATAGGGCGTGAACGCGCACGGCAGAGTTCTGCGGAACCTACAAATGTAAAAATAAGGTAAAAAACGTAAGGTAGAGATTCAAATTTATGTTCGCAAAACATTTCTAGTCAATAATTAATAAGCCTAAACAACAAGATATTAAGTAATATGAATTTTAAAATTTAAAGTTTCTAGTTAATAGTCAAAGTTACATTTTCTTTAAATCATTCATTTTATTCATCAATCTAAAAACAATTTAAATATATTAAGCATCTTTTTAAATTGCAAAAATTTTACGATTCGGACTTGAACCGGCATTTACTGCATTCCTTGTTGCTGCTCCAACCGATTGAGCTACCGGAACCGGTTTCAAATAAGTCTTATACATACTTGTGGACAGGCAGAAGGTCGTCGCAAAGTGTCGGGGCGGTTTTAAGGCTAGTGGACTCATCACTCGGTGGAGACGCGTTCAAGTCTATATCAAGGTGGAGGAGGAGCGTGGGCCCACTGGAAGCTTTCTGGCTGTACAGCATTGCGTTTTCACCGTGACTGGGCTGTAAATAGAGATTATTCTTACGCATTTGTTATATAGGTCCCTAAAAAGTGTATTTCGCATAGTGCCATTGAATACGTCTTCTGCTCGTAGTATAGTCGTAAATATTTTATAAGGATCTGTATTCATGGTTGAGTCTATATATAAAGAAAATACTTAAACATTATATTTAGTTATCGCGAGTGGCACAACTTAAATATTTTATTTAATAAATTATAATTGAATAGTGCTTAAATATGTTTTTTTAAGGACATGCGAATAGGAAATTCAGACTGGCAAAACTCTATCAAGACAAAAATTATTTTATTCAAAGTGTTGAGGTTAGTGGTTTCCAGTGATTCTCCTTACATCAGACATGATATGAACTAGAAACCCGAGACCACCAGAAACATTTCACTCAAACGATACTTACGTCATGGTGCAGCACATATTTGCCCGGCAACAGTCCCTCGAGTTGATCAAGTGTAGAATACAACACATTCGCGATCCGGGGCTGCATGTCACCATATTTGTCCTTGAAGTTTGCCAGACTCATCTTTTCCATTGTGACTATTTCGCCTGACGATCCTTCTACTCGAACTAAAAAGAAAACAATACAATTTAGATACTTTAATTAAGATATTTTGAGAGATTTCTAAAATTCAGTGTTGAATTGGGTTCCGCAATTCCAAAGTCATACAGGTAAGACTTTGGAAATTGCAGGATAAATATTTTTTTTTCAAGTTTCATTATATTACTTATGTCGTGCATGAGCATTTATTTTCTCTATCTCAGAAAATAAATGCTGTTTGCCGCCCCTAACATCATGGGAGAAGCTCGAGCTCAAAGACTCCGCTGGACCGGCCACGTCGAAAGAATGGAAGAGCACCGAAGAGTCAAGAAGGCGTATCTCGGAATCCCGAACGGCCGCCGACCCGTTGGCCGGCACAAAAACCGCTGGAATGACGCTGTTGAGCTTGACCTGGTGGAACTCGGTGTCTCCGAGTGGCGAAGTGGCCAAGACCCACTTTGGGTCGCTGCGCCAGCGGAGTAAGTCAAAGTCAAAGTCAAAAATCTTTATTCATGTAGGTAACTTGTACACTTATGAACGTCACAAAATAATTTAGAATCATAGAAAGTAAGTAAGTATCTCAGAAAATAAATTTTTGGATGGGGACTTATCTATCCCATTCCGGTAGAATCACGACAAACAAACATTTTTTATTTTCTTTTTTTTTGGCGAATCTAAATAATTTTTAAAATTTTAAAGAGAATAAAGCATATTTTACCTAATTTATTCTATACCACTGGTATAATAAAGCCGAAGTTTGCTTTTATTTTCCACTCAAATGACTTTACCGATTACGAAAAAAAATGTACATAGATTGTTGAGGTTATGTTAAAGTACAAAAAGGATATCAACGAGTACGACTACTAAGTAACAGTTATTGATGAAAAGGATATAGTGTGTCTGGTTTCCATGTCCACGACACACGTCATTACAACGGAACTTAACGTAGTTAAAAAAGAAATGCAACAATATTTCTGACCTTTAAGAAGACTAGCCCTCTGTTTCAAAATTAGCGAGAGAGCTAGAGCGGCGATCTTGTCTTGCGAGAGCGAGACAGCGCCACACTCGATCTGGTATTCCGGAATCGGCTCCAGCACCACTTCCTCCGTTTTACTCTGTAAATGAGATATGAATATGAAAGTAAATTTACAGCTTACAATCCAACGAATTTCCTTCGGATTACAACACTCTATAGAAGCCAAATTTTAACTAATATTAGCAACAAACCTCTCTAATTACATTCAACAATGGTCAAATGTCGAATAACTTTTATGGGGACTTTGTTATGCATATGTTTTCTTAAATGTGTAATCCATTATTGCCTTATTTTTAGTTTCAATGTATTATTTAGCTGTAGGCATACCAAATAAAAAAATACTATTTCGTAATTATGTAACAGGGCGTCACATCTGTATAAATTGACGAAATTTATAAAATAGATATTTTAACAGTAAAATCTATGGCACGTTAGTCCCAATGTTTTATATTTAGTTCGGGGGTATCGAAAGCTAAAATAGGTTGACCGCACATCTCGTTTAGATGTTATAGGCTGAGGCATTTTACATTCCATCTAGTGAAAAAGGCTCATTGTCTATCTAAAATAAAATAAAATAAAATATACTTTGTATTTAAAATTATAAAAATTATTTAGTTTTGTCAAAAACATTTTAAATAATGTTTGTCTGTCCGGTCGTCGTGATTCTACAGAGTGTTCAAAAAACACATAACAGAAGAGACCCAAAAATCAGTCTGTTTTTTTCAAATGTCTTACGAACTAATATATTTTTGTGACTTAGATGACCTAAGAGATTATATCACCAGGAGCTAATTAAAGAAGTCTTTTAAACAATAATACACCTTTTGAGAAATTAAATTTTAAGAATTTTATGAACTTATTTATTTGTTTAATTTGAAATTCAACTGCAATGTATTACGAATACATACGAATCCAATTCCCCGCAAATGAATTCGTTATTTTATTTTACCGTGTTGTACTAACCCGCACTTCGTGGGGGCAGTGTACGATAATGTCTTGCTGGTCACCGGAAGCTACGTTGCGCAGACGCCATCTTTTGTACGAACGCGGCGGCGGCATTTCAAACATCGTATCTTGAATATAATATGTATACAATTAAAACATTTAAAAATAGTTCAAGACATTTTAATACCCTTATTTCTATTACTACAATAAAGAACAACTTAAATTATATACTATGTCGTCATAATACTTGAAAAACGAGTTCAAAAAAAGATAAGTAAGAAGGAAACATCTATTTTATATTATACGTTACTCTCAGTTTCTAGATTTGTAAATTTTCATTTTATATTACCTTTGCAAGAGCAGTCATAGAAGCCAAAATTTATGCATTGTATTGTTGTTTGGGAGTGGTGTTTCTTGTGTTACATCGTCTTCCTTCTTTTGAGAATTTTCCTTTGCGCAATTTTTTAGTATATCATCACCTGTAATGTCAGGATTCCAAATATATCATAGAGGTACTTACAACAAAACATACATACTTACTGAGCCATTAAGTAAGAAAGTCTTTAATATCATACATATATCGATACAGAGATTAGTTTCCTCATCATCGCTCGAGGGTTCCAGAACTGGTTCCGGGATGTCCATGCTGGTAATGTTCAGGTCATCATCATCATCACGATTTGCTAGTTTACTAAGCAGATTTGCTCTTTCTGATAAACTGCAAATATGATTAATATTGTTTTGCATTAAACACAAAAAAAAAATGCTTACTTTTAAACTTAATTAATTGACTGTTGTTTATGGTAATACACATTTAAATAAAACACTGTAAAACGCGAAATATATGAGTTAACTTTATACATTTTTACAAATTTTCAACGAATTAAAAATAACCGAATGACGTGAAGAAATGTATTTTTTTGTTTAAAATTGCAGTAATATACCCACATAGATTGAATAAGTATTATACGTACGGAATTAGTGCATCCTCAAGCAAATGCTTGAAAGCCTTATACGTCCTCTGGAGAACGTTTTCCTTTTTAATGGCGAATTCGCTGCCCAACACTGTCACGTTGGTCTTGTCGCCGTCTGTGGAAATAAAGCATCAATCTAGATTGACCCGAGCTTTCCGGCCGTCGTAACTGAGAAATTGTTGTCGACGTTTCGCCAAAATGAGTCTCGCTTTTCTCAATCAAAGACTGGAAAGGTTTTATATGTATACTAGATGTGTCAACGACTTCACCCGCGTAGAATAGTTACTTTGGGCATGCAAATTTGTATCTTTATAAATTTATTAAAATTCGTACAACCTTTCCTTTAGTTTCTTTTTTTCTTAAAATTTTTCGTTTTTTTTTTTTTTTCCCTTTTTTTTTTTTTTTTTTTTTTTTTTTTTTTTTTCCCCCAGCTATCCACGACTATCTTTATAATTAATTAATTTGTATCTTTATAAATTTAAGCTACCCACTACATCCGGTCGCGTGCCGTCACTCACTCAGATAGACATATTTCACATTTTTTTAAGATCATTTAAAGAGGATTCATTCTTTTTTAAATAAAACACTTTAACGGTTTAAAACGCGATATATTAGTTAAACTTATTTGGAAATGATTTTATACTTCGGCCCAACGTTTCGGAAGCTTTGCAGCAGCCTTGGTCACGGGGTCTAAGGTCTAAGGTCTAACTAACATATCGCGTTTTAAACCATTAAAGTGTTTTATTTAAATGTGTACTACTCGCGTAAACTATAAACAGGATTCATTGTTTTAGACATATTTTTTAGGTGGTTTATGCCTCTATATAGTAAATGACCGGTTTTTATGACAGAGGAGGATTCATAAGCATTGGGTTCATGGTAGGTGAAACACCACAGTTATTACGACCAACCACCAAACGAAATTAACTAAGTTGTCGACCTATTTTTGCCCTCGGCCATTCGGAAATCAACAGAATGATAACAAAACACAGAATCACAGTTCACAGCTTTTCTCACAAGGTTCGAAATAACTTATAAAATAGATTTTAGGAACATCCTGGGCCCGATGGCTACCACAAGATCTACGAGCCTGGGAAAAGAACGCCTTGTTAAAAAGAGAGATATGAGATATTTGAAATAAAAACATTTGAAATACTCACTTGAGTCGATCACTTCACAGATATTAACAGTAATATTCCAGGCTCGGCCGAAAGAAAGCAAGCACTGGAGCGCACTCTCACTGGCTATGTACTGGGCACCTTGTTCCAAAGCGTATTGCGCCAACTCCCTCTCGATTTCCGTGAGTGGAAGAATTGAGACTGACTTTTCCACTGAAACACAAATATGTATTTAACATAAAAGAAAACGCCTAAATTCGGATATATGCAAATAATTTAAAAGTGGTATATGCTAACTGTGTGAATTAGTGTACTTATAGTGGGATAGGAAGAACGGCGACCAACATCGGGAATATTAAATTTATATACTCATCTTTTTGTTCTATGAAAAGTAAAATATAAGGTCTACAGACAAATATATACTGATCTTATTAATTACTGAGACCCCATAAGTTAGTAATCAAAATATATAATTTAAGTATTTTGCTGAATAGTATGCAGATAAGCCTAGAATGTATGTAATTTTATTATCTTTATAAATATTTTTTTCTATATAATATAATTATCCTAACACACTCACTTGGCAATATAAATTTGCATGGATGCTTGATGCACGGCTCGGGTACAGCACCAGGTTTAATAATACTAAGTTTTTCTTCTATCATCTCTTGCTTGATTTCCGGTAGATCTTTTTCATTTATCTACAACATAACACCTTTTTTAATAACTAAATAAAATAAACCTTTATCAGATCTCTATCAACAGTGGTACTTCAATACTTACTCGAATCAATTCTTCACAAAAGGTCATCTCAAAATCTCCATTACCCTGCAATGGTATTTGGGCAGCGAGTGAAAAGGTTTTTGGGTAGCTCTGCAACTCAGTGGCTCTCAGTTTGAACTGTGCTTCGTAAGCTAGCTCCACAGGTGGTTTTGGTCGCAGAGCTCTAATGCAGTGTTCAGATGCCCATAATGTTTTGGCCCAGTCTATGAAGTCTCTTTTTTCTTCTTCATATTGAGATTTTAAAGACTGAAAAAACCTTTTTATTGACACAATTTATTTGAGCATTAAATCATTAATTGCATTGCAATGAACATGTAATAAATAACTTATATTTTTTTGTATTTATTGTTTAGACACTTTTAGAAGTAAAAACCATTCTAAACACTGAATCAGTTATACATGCATTTACATAATTTCATATAAATACATTTTATAAAATAATACCTCAAACATTTTTACATCAATCCTACTCGGTCTAGGAAAGTTCTTCTGAGGTAGTATATGGGGATTATTTGCACATATTACTTTCAGTAGTTGTGTGTGTTGCACTGGGGACAATGAGGACAATTTGGGGTATTTTGGTACACCTCTGCAGCCGGGTATGAAGAGGCGGTGATTCTTCTCATTCTGTCAAAAAATAAATATTATATATTAATGGGTTTAAACTTTAATTAAAATTAAATCGACACATTAAATCTTAAAACAAGCTAATATTACCACTATTCACAGGAAAGCTTAAACTAAATATAAGGTATTATGTGAAAAGTTTTGTTTAAGCTGTCCTTACAAAATAGCAGAAAAAAGATTCAAGTAGGAATGTAAGCTAATATGTTCAGGAACATGTGTTCCATGAACAGTGTATACTGAATGGGAATCTTCAAATCTGAATGGGAAGTTTAATCTTCATTGCTGTAATAAGTAAATAAAATCTCACATTCTTTTTGTTTTTAAACACTTCATTCCAGTCGATGTCTTCTGGTTCTTCGTCATCACTACTAATCAAAGGATCATGAAAAGTGTTACGGAGGATTCGTTCAGTTACACAGTTTTCCAAATCCTCTGCATTTAGGAAATATTTTTCTCTACCCAAGTGAGGCACAGTCCTGTAAAAAGTAAGACGTTAGTTCATGTTTTTGTCGACAACCTTCAAAAGTCATAAATAAAAAGAGTATATAGGGATTACTGTTTAACTTTAATACATTTACACCATAATAACTAACTTCCTTTAGAACGAAGAGTTATTCCAAAAAAGTATGTTTATTTATCGCACAAAATTAAAATATAATGAGAAGTGTCCATCTACCTACTAATGTTCCTAACAACAAAAATTTACGAGAAAAGCATGAAATAAACATTTTGACAAAAGTCTTTTCAAATAAATTTAACTAACATATCGCGTTTTAAATCGTTATAGTGTTTTAAATGTGTACTACTCGCGTAAACTATAGACGGTAGTGAAAATATTTACCAATCCTTGAAAAATATTTGATCCATGGTTATTCTTTGCACATTGTTGATAATAACGAAATGGGTTAATTTAATGCTAGCAACTTATCTTTTTCCTTCTAAATAATTATAATAAACACTTTTTTTTAACAATATAATTATAATTTGAAATAAAGAAACCTATATTTATGTGAAAAAAACATTGGTGCTCATGTTACGATTTGACAGCTGACAATTGACATATCGTAGGAATTAGATATGACCAAACAAACACATTTTCTGAAGTTTATATGGCTTGGTAACGAGGTATTTCACTAATATTCTTCTTTTTTGAGACAAGCTTCATAAAGACAAACTTCGTTATTAATATATCCTAGAATAAAAAATAACACATTTATTTGATATTCATACAGTGTAGAACGTAGTTTTTTACAATGTTTTTCTTTCTGTTGGAGAAGGAATATACCCCAGCCATATAATATACTATCCATCGTGCCATCCAACGTGCCCGAAGACACCACAGCCCAGTAGGGCAAAAAACAAAAACGGGCGAATACGCCCCCACCATTACGCATCCTTAAAGGTTCTCTTCTGAGAACTAATCAAGAGCCTACATTTCGCGGTCTTGGAGACACGCCATTCACCGTGCCGAAGCACCACTGGGTCCGAAGACCCGACGACAAAAGGCGACGATCGCCCGAGCGATAAAACGCTCCCTTACTGGCCGTTTAGTGTACGCCCGTGGCACCCCACCAGATTAGTTCCGCGCCGGCAGCCTAACTGCCGATAATCGCCACTATCTGATGACCATTCCCCTATCCGCCACCTGGGGACGCGCCCGACGAAAGTCTGACAACTCAGGGTAGGGTACTCCGACCTCACGTACCAAGTAACCTATGTCCTTTTTCGGGTCTAAAATTACTATTTAACAAATTTTATTTAACGTTTGATGAGAGCAACAACACGGAACGCTGATGATGCCGGTTCAAATCCTGCCCGAGTCGAAACTTTTTTCAATTTATTTTCCATTTTTAAATTTCATTTAAATCAGTTCAGTAGTTTCGGAGTTAAGGCCGGACGAACAGACAGACAGACAGACAGATTTACTTTCGCGTTTAAAATATTATTAAAATCTATAATTTATTTAAATAAAAAAAATTATAAATGGTATGGATAACACGGTCTGATTTTGTTCGGCATTTCTATCAATTTGTTAAAAGTAAAAAAGTAAGTAGTTATAGTGACGTAAGTACAACAGTTAGACATGTTATGGTCACGCGATGATTTTTGTAGATATTGATATCTAATATATAAAATTCTCGTGTCACAGTTTTCGTTGCCATACTCCTGCGAAACGGCTTGGCCGATTTTGATAAAAAAAATTTGTGCTTATCCGGTATCTATGAGAATCGGCAAACGTCTATTTTTCATCCCCCTAAACGTTAGGGGTAGTCCACCCCTAAATTGTTTTTTTTTTATTTTTTAGACAACATTTTTTAATTCTGATTTATGATACAACATACAAAATACATACAATCCTCAATTTTCACTCTTCTACGATCAACCCTTATTTTTTAATAGCCATTTTAGTAATTGAATTATTTTTCGAAATTATTAATATGGCAAAACAACGTTTGCCGGGTCAGCTAGTACTCTAGCTTTCAGCTAGTATTATTAGTAATATTGTCGAATTTTTTTTTGCCTTATCATTAATACTCTTCGCAGCGTATGCGAAGAAAGACATTTTACGGCTAATTTTTTTACGCCCTCCTTTGGTTTTAGTAAGAATTACTATAGATGCCTATAGTAATCAAGTACTAAATATAGCTTATGTTACTCAGTGATAATGTAGCTTTCTAATGAAAGAAGAATTTTTAAATAAAATCATTTCATTACATACGAAAATACAAATTTTTCATCTTTATAATATTAGTGTAGATAGCTGTTACCCACGATATTCGTATCCCGTCGTTCGGATCGTTCTTGCAAGTTAATCTTAAAAGATAGACATATAGCGTCGCGGAATTGTTTTGAACATTTAAAGGGAAATCATTTTTTCTTTCACATTTTTAAGAACCCTACAGAGATGAAGAATATCCCCCGTTTTGTTCACATTTCTCGCTGTATCTTCGCTCCTATTAGTCACATTGCAATGTGTTATAGCCTATAACCTTTCTCGATAAATGCTCTAACCAACACAAAAATTTTTTTCAATTCGAACCCGTACTTTCTGAGATTAGTGCGTTCAAACAAATAAACTTTTCAGCTTTATATATTAGTATAGATAGATGTAATTGCACATTTATTGCAGCCAACTATGTTGTAAGTGCTACTTTGCCGCAATACATCACTCCTACTCTAACTCCCACTCTCTCCGTTGGAATTCAATTTATAGTGTGTGGGGGTATCATTTGTATAAGCCGAGTAGTCATCCAAAAAATAGGCACTTACTAAGAAGTAAGTTTAGGAATTGTCAGCTCAACAAAAAAAGCGCTCAAATTTACCAAGTACATTAAAAAAACCTTATTTAAAACATTAACAGGTATTATCTAAATAAAAAGGTAGCTGAATAAATTGTACAGGCAACAACAAAAATACAACATTTTAAAACTCGCACCAGCCAGGAATTATGTCGAGCGTCGATATTTTTTATTTTACAACGTAATTGGAGGCCTGCGGCTAAGGTTGCTAATTAAACCAACATTTTGTATCAAACACCTGCAGCCCGAGGCGTAGACCCTTGTGAATTGTACGCCTAATGCGCACCCTTTCGCTAGTAAGGACTAGTAATGCATATTATTATTTACACTGCGAATTTATTTACAGTTACTATAATTTTGGGTAACATCAAAGTAATATTGACATTCTACCGACTACTAAGCTAAAAAAATATTTAATATATTCTGTATGTAGTCACTATAATAGTATACTAGCTATGCCAGGGACTTCGTCCGCGAGAATCGTTATTTTGGGCATCCAAATAAGTTTTTGCAAACCCCGTCATCTTTATAAACTTAAGCTGTTACCCACAACGTCGATCGCGTCTCTTCCCGTCGTTCTTGCTAGTTAATCTTAAAAGATAGACATATAGCGTCGCGGCCTTTTTTTTAGATTATTTATAAGTGAATCATTCTTTCGTACATAATTTTTAGGTATCTTGAACCGTTTTCGCAACGTATGCATCCGAAACCTATAGATATGAAAAAATTATCCCGTGTTGTTCACATTTCTCGCTGTATCTTAGCTCCTATTTGTCAGATCGCAATGTGTTATAGCCTATAACCTTTCTCGATAAATGCTCTAACCAACACAAAAATATTTTTTTAATTCGCATCCGTACTTCCTGAGATTACCGCGTTCAAACAAACTCTTCAGCTTTATATATTAGTATAGACACTATATATTCATTTATTGTATTTCTACAAAATGACACTATTATGATAATATAGCATTTAAATGAAATGAAAATTAATTTATCGCTGTCTAACGACACTCCTCGTAAATTGGACGTTATCAGCCCCTACTGGCTACTTTTCAATAAAGATCAGTAGTTGGCGTATTGCCCAATTAGAAAACGCTAATTAGTTGTAATAGCTCGCCGGTTTTCGATTAGTTGCCATCGCAGTGTGTACAAAGCACTAATTTGTATCGACACATATCGTGAGCATCCAGTAAAACAGTATATACTTGGAGCAGTGATATAATTAAAATTAGGAATGAAACATTTTAGATACGAAAACAAAAAAAGGGTTTCACTGCCAAGATTGTAAACGATCTACGATCCTTTAAATACACACGATATAGAATTACGAGATAGACAGGAATGAAAGAAAAACACCGGAATAAACATGTGCCAATAAGTTGCGACTCAAAGCGCACCCCCTTTGTGAATCAGGGCTGAATCAGGACGTCCGTTTGATCCACTGCCAAGCCGATATCAATCCCGATTGGACGGAATTTTAGAAGTCGCTCACTCATATAAGTAACTACATATCGATAAAAAATAATTTTTTTCATGGATGAAAATAACACTTTCGTGATTCAAGATTAATATTATTCATGAAATACTTTGTATCACAGTGAACGCTTATTGGCAAAAGTAGGAGAAAAGCCGGATAGTTGCCCCACCTTAGCAAAAAGCTTAATAAAACAAAACCGGGATCTCGCTGGAAATTGTTTAATATGTATATCAAAACATAGGCTTTTAATGTTCTATAAAAACCTTTTTCTATGTACATAATTAATGTAGTTTTTTATTAAAAAACGTTTTATTTCACCAGTCAGAAAAGAGATAGTTGCCTCCTATGGCGGATAGTAACCTAGCGTGAAAAATGCCTAGAGGATACCTTCCTCGCGCGAGGATAGTCGTCTTAGTACTATTTTATTTTAGATAGAGAGAAAGTTATATAAATTAAATTAATCTAATATAATTGTAATCTTTTATTTGGCCTAAATATCCAATTATACAATACTAAACATTAAATTAATTAAGAAAAGAAGTCTTAATTAACATTATTACTTTATACGTCTACTGTAAAGTTAGTAGTTGCTCTGCGATGTGTTATTAGGGTTCAAGTTGATTCAGTGTGCTCAAGAAATTTAATTTATAAACTACTCCTTAAGTTCACCTAGTGATAATACCGTCGCCTCATATTTATTATAATAGTAGTGCTAGCCATGAAGATCGGCGGCAAAAGCGGCTCAAGGACGACTATTGGATTCAGTTAATGCTTCACGCTTTTGCTTCACTCAACGTTTGCGTCGCCGTGGCGCTGCTTTACATTCGTTACAGTCGTTACACGCATCGTCGTTTGCGTCGCGAATTATCCTATGTCGAATGTTCAGTTGCGAGGTCGTAAGTAATTGTTAGACCCCTTCAAGAGGAACATCTAAAATTAGTTTCGTAAAACGCTTTACAATATTCTTCAATTGTACAGATCTGGATTTAGAAACTTTTAATAAACACAATACCGTACTATTATGTAACTGTATTTGCGAATATCGAGTAAACCTAAAAGTTATGATAAAACCTTTGAAAAGTTGCGCGA